GTAACTTGTTTTGACTTGTTTCAAACATAACTAGTTCCAAGTTAGTTATAACTTGTTTCAAACAATTATAGCCTGAGGTAAGCATGTTTAAGCATGTTTGTAGATCCCTCATCTCTTTTTTGACACAATAGTTTCGAATTTAAATGGTGACTTATTGGCTTTGAATTTAAAAATAAAATGATATAAAATATTGCCTTATTGGCTTACTGAAAACTTGTGAAACATGTCACTATTTAATCCTACCCAAACTGTGTATCGCTATAAAGTTTTTCAAGTTAGAGTCCCTAAATTCATGAGCAAGCGTGAATTTTTACTAAACTTGAAGTCCGGTAAAATAAAATTTCGGACCTGTCGGAAAACCTTTCATTTTCGTATTTATGCATAGCTGTATTCTGTTCACTAAAATCTTAGAAGAACATGATATTAATTAAGAAAAAATGACCTAATATTATTTTTTTATAAATACCGTTTTTTCAGTAACTAGTGGGCCTGTCGTTGTTAAAGTAAACATCATGCTACGAATGTTAAGCAAAATCGATGTTGTAAACATGGTACGTCTTTTCTGTTAAAGCTACTTTTGAGTAAAATCAAAAAAATCTGACATAGTTTAACAATTAAAGAAAACCATACCGATATACTCAAGGATAAAAAATAATTAAATTTAGCAAAACTAATATCTTTTTATATTTTCATAAGTTAAGAAGATCTTTGGAGACTGAAAAGCAGACATTAATTTGAAAAATGTTGAAATACTACTGAGATACAACATCTCGCTTTCAATCTTTGCAAAAGTTTTTTTACAATCTTTAAGCGATATTCAAAGTTTAAAAAATATGGGCTTGAAGTAATGCATTTGGAATATCTAATAATGTTCTAAAACTATTTCGCAATTTCAGGAATTTTCTTCTACTTGGATTAATCTATTGCTAAACTAATTTTTTTTTTGATTTTAGTCAGAGTTACAAATTCTGTAAGCAATTGCAGGAATACAGTATGCAGATAACGTTCAGAGAAAGATGGCTTGATCGTAGGTTAGCTTATGAAAATATGCACATCACCAATATGCCTAATTTTCTTACGGTTCCATATGTCAAAAACAATATTTGGATGCCTGATTCATTCTTTCCGGTATGTAAACAATATAAAAAACCACTAATTTTTATAAACAAACATTTTTTCCTGAAAAAGAATATCTGAAGAGAAGTTACGAAATAAAAATGTTTCGTAATTTATTGAGTAAATAAACTCGTAAAACTACTTTAGATGTACTGTCTTGAATGGCCGGGGAATTTATTACAGACAGAGAAAGCAGCACATAGGCATCACATCGATAAAGAGAATATGTTTCTGAGAATATATCCGAATGGACAGATATTATACAGCGTGCGATTATCATTAACACTATCATGCCCAATGCATCTACAACTTTATCCTCTCGACGTGCAATACTGCGATTTTGATTTAATCAGCTACGCCCACACTGTTACCGTATTATTTCCTTCCTATTCGAAAATTATTTTTAAACTAATACAGCCATAAGTATTAAGATACTTCTGATAAATAAAGAAAAATTTTTTCCTTTTGTATAAATTATATTGAAAACTACTATGTGAAGTTCTTCCAAGTTAACTAACTAACATAATTTTTTGTTTGTGTACAACTTTGTTAATAAGCTGAATCATATATAATAGGTATTTAATGAAAGTAAATACAAGCTGTCTCGTCCACGCCAAAATTTTCTATTTATGCCATGAATATAATCTTCATTTTTTTAGAAAGCAGTACAATTAATGGCAAAGACGGTAACACATAATAATGTCATCAAAAGTTTTAAAATATTAAAAAGTCGGAAAAACAAAAATTTTAAATTCACAATAGCAAATAGAACGCAAAGTGTTCAGCGGATATTTTAGCATGAAAAAACTTTGAATTTCCAGGATATTGTATATGAATGGGAAAAAGAGGGAGGACCACCAGTACAAAGAAAACCTGGTGTCGGCAGTGACCTACCTAATTTTTTGCTCACAGCCATAGAAACTAACCATGAATGCACCAGCCACACTAATACAGGTGTTCCTATTTTGTTATAATTTTTTGTAATCGGAACTAACCAGTCATTACAGCGCTTCTTCTAGCTTGTAATGTAACCTTACGCGACTACGCGCTACTTTTCAAGGAGCTTCATGATGGCATCTGTTAAATCAATCCGTTCAATCAACCTGCGTGAGGCTGTCGAATCTTCTTAGTAGACTATTTACAATTTCCTCCTCTTTGGCGTTATAATTCCAAAATATATCTATTCTTTTCTATTCTTTGATATAGTCTACTTCTCCCCTTTATCACAGAATAATGAAGTGTAGAGACAGGTCTTGTTGGAATTATTATCTCAAGAAAAATTAAGACCTAGTTGCTGAAAATTCTCATTATACATTCATGAAAAGATTCATAACTGTCTTCGGAATTTCAGGAACCTATGCTTGCTTAAGGATGCGTCTCGAGCTTTCGCGTCAATTCAGGTTAATTTTTTATTAATTTTGAGCCCTGGTATTTGAAATATTTCAGCCAATACAATTTAGAATTAGGAAACGGCATTTTTTAAAACCCATTAAAAATTATTTGTAGTATATTAGGTAGGATCAACGAAGTAAGACATAACTGTTCATTCTAGATTTGCATATCAAAAATTTCCGATAAAAAAAGCCAAATCGAAACTGGCTTATTAATATATTAATTGCTCACTTAAAAAGATTCTATTTCTCAGCCCTTTACGTCCAAGAAAAAAATCTTTTCAGCTACTATTTAATCCAACTATATGGTCCAACAACAATGACCGTGATTGTCAGCTGGGTCAGCTTCTGGATTGACATACATTCCACAGCAGGCCGTATTGCTCTCGGTGTTACTACATTGCTCACAATGACCACATTGGTAAGCTTTTGCTTTTTTATGTATGAAGGAAAAAACTGTTTTTAGTTAAATATTGAAACTTGAATTATTGTCAGCTTACCAATTAATATTACGTGTTCCGCAATTATATTAGCCTTCTAAAGCTTCTGTAAAGATTGTTTTGTTGATAGCAATAGAATTCAATAGGATTTAAACGCCTCAGTTAGCCAAAATTTATGTAAAGTTGGCAGAATGTCAAAGCTATACAACCCTTTTGAAATAAAAAAAAATATATATATTTCAGACATCATCTATTAACGCAAAGTTGCCTCCAGTAAGCTATGTAAAAGTGGTGGACGTTTGGCTAGGCGGTAAGCTATCACCTATTTTTGCTCGTTAACATTTCTAAAATTTTTTAAAAATCAGCCACCAATCCAAAAAAAGACTTCCAAAAATATGAAAATCTTTATTAGTGCACAGTAATAAATTTCATTTTTTAAATTTGTAGGAAGAAAGAACAATTTATATAATTTCAGCTTGTCAAACATTCGTATTTGGAGCACTTCTAGAATATGCTTTCGTCTCTTATCAAGATAACTGTCTTCAAGAAAAGAAAAATAATATGTCAAGAAATGGACGTCGAAGAATTGATAAACGAAACATCGAAAATCAACAAATCTACCAGCAGCAATGTACCTGTTATTTGGTAAGCTGATAAGAATTCTACTGAATACTAAAAACAGAAGTTAAGGGCGACAAATCTGAAACCTCAATTTAAATCAAAATCTGAAACACAGTTCTCATCAAACAATACTCCGTCGGCATCGTTCAAATTCGAAATTTTATGAAGGCAATAGACAAGGCTACAAGGTAATAAGTTGAGGAATCGAAAAAGGGACAAGAGATGAAACTTCCGAAAACCAGCATAAATTTCCCATTGAAATTAAGTAACTTACAAAATTTTACTATCAAAGAGTTGACTTTCCCGGAAATACAATTGTTTCTTGCAGTTATCAGTGCAGCCACGTGAAAGAGTGATGGATCGTATGAAAAAACTTTTCATGAGGCCTACTTATTTTCCGGCTAAAATTGATTTCTACGCCCGATTTTGTGTGCCGATTGCATTCACTATATTTAACGTTATCTACTGGACAACATGTTTTATGATGATTTCTGGATACGGCCCCAAGAATTGATTTTTCTTAAGCGACTTTTCATGCAGCTAATTCATGAAGCCAAGAAATGGAACTAAAGAAAAATTGAAACTTGACTGACAAAATTTGTGGGTCTTTCTAACAATAATGTTAATCTTTCTTCGACGAATAATTTTCAGCACCAGGTTTATTGTTGAATAAAAAAATCCTTTTTGTATTTCTAGCAGAGGGTCAGAAATCATAAAAGGAACATAAATTTCAAAATTTCATTTTGTAGTTATCGATCTAAATAATAACTGAGAAAATCAGATACACAGCATGAGCCAATTCCTCTTACTATTGTTGAAGATGCACAGTTTACAGGTTAATAACATATTTTACTGCATAGGAAGTCGTTACTAATTTGATATTACGCAATCAACTAGCACCGTAATAAGACTGGAAATAACATTAAAAAGCGAGCATACTTTAATATGTGAAAATGCCGACGATTTCTTTACATAACTGATATTTTTTGTATGGCTTGCTAGATATTAGGAGCTAGATATTTATCATTCGGGCTTTGATCGAGACCCAATAATAAGGCGCTGAATAAAAAGCAAAAAAACACAGAAAAAGGAAAAAAGATGGAACACGGTAATTACTGTTACTATCATGATGAGTTATTTGTTCGAACTGTAAAACATTTCCTGATGGCAATCTTGATTTCACCACTTTAGTCCTCAGATAAACAATTTATGATTTATTACACAAAGCATCTCTTTAACTAATCAGTTCAATGGCTAGGACCTTCATTTTTCTATTGCTTCACAATAAAGGCAATTTTTGACCTGATCACAAATTTTCCGTCTACCATTCCAACTCTTAGTCTTCCTCTTATCAAAAAAAGAACCCTATATAAGGCACTAATACATTATAATATCATTAAAAAAAAATATTTTAATCAGACTGAAGTAAGAATTACCTGCATAAAGTGGCCATGCAATCACGACACCACCACCAACAGTTTCTGTTTTCATCACCTTTGCTGTTATGGCTGCTAATACCCTGTGTTACAGTTTCACCGCCACTGGAGCAACTTCCAAGTTGATCATTTGTAAATGGTGCACTACAATCGTGGCACTTCATCACCGTTGATTTTGTTGTTGTTGTTGTTGTTGTTGTTGCTGCTGCTGCTGCTGCTGCTGCTGCTGATGCTGCTGCTTCTGTCGATGTCATCATGTTAACATTTCTAATCCTTCTAGTTTAATAATTTCATTTGTCGGAATCAAAATAAACACTTCTTGGGTCTCGTTAATATATTTTCAGCAGTATCTGCAAACGTAAATAGTTATTCGGTTTCCCAGGCATAGAATTGGCACATATCCGCATGAAGAAGTTTTCCAACAGGACAGTAAATTCAAATAAATCGAACTCTTTGCTTCTACACTATATTCTATATTGAATTAAAAAAGAAAAAAAGGAGTGCCTAAGCTAAAGCGTTATATCTTGGATTTTCCAATGCCACAATTGTCTGTTTAGAATATTGTTCTTAAACAAAGCCAACAAAAATATATTAATCAATTTCTGGATCGAAGTCATAACTTTGCTGTAAGGATAATTTAGAACGAAAATAATTTTGATCAGTGATATGATTTTGCTTGAAAAAATTCAGTACACTGTAAATTCTTCCACATACAATTGTTACAAATTAGTTTTTGAAAATAAATTAAATTTTTTCCGCTTAAACAAAAAGACAATGTAATGGTAGTAAGTTAAATAAAACAAAGCCAGCACTCTGATATTATAACATAATCATCACACATGTTTTTTGTACCTCACACTTGATAGCAAGAAAGTAATACAGGTTGGCTAATAAACCAAAAGCTACTTTCTCTAAAGCGTGAGTTTTGCTCAAATCTTTCAGATAAGAAATAAAATATGAAGTTGCAAGTGAATGTGAAGCATTTAAGAAAAAATCAGCCCATAGACTAAGTGGTTCCGGAAAGCACTCAATCTGAGAACAGTTCTTTACGAAGATCCTAAAACAGAAAAAGTCGGAGAAAAAAGAAGAGAAGTATCAGGTACCCTCCGACCATCAACCGCGAAAAAGTGCAAATGAAAATCAGCTTGCAAATGCTTTCTTTACGGTACGCGCTCTGAAATTTGACACATCCCAAATGACATGACGTTACAGCGTCTCTTACACCACCACTTCCTAGAGCTAGCATTTGTACCAGAAACTTACAGTCCACATCATCGTCTGTTTGCTCGCATTTTTGGGTAGTAGTTGCAATGCACTTAATGTATATGTAAATTTACCCTTAGCCCCAGATATACACAGTGTGACCTCTTTCTTTCTAGTCTTATCAGGTCAGAAATTCGCTAATCTCATTCCTTATATAATTTCTTTTGGTAGATTCGAAAATACTTGATATTGCAATTCACTATAAATTCATTATATCAATAAAATTTGTTTATCTTGAAAGTATAAATACTATGAAATATATGAAAATTTATCCAAAGGCTGTACATAAATTATTCTGCCATAGAAGTTACATGTAAAAAAAATGCAATATTATGGAACACAACGTCATCGCGTAACATAATACAAATTAAGATTCATTGCATGAAGTATCCGCTTCAAAAAGCATGAATTAAATAAGGAAGGGATCAAATACAATGATGAATGACAATGGTGATGATAAAATTTTACATTATTTGAATAAGATATAGCTGTTTTTAATTTTCGAAGCAAAAGTTAATAAACAAAAGGATAAGATCCTTTGGAATAAGATATTCAATGCAAATACGTGAATCTGAGGACAGCAACAGTGGTTCAATTTGCTATTATTTGTACTTCTAATTTTCTAGACTCTCCATTCCTCAGTTCTTCCGATGTCTCAACTTTCAAACTGTAATGACAGTTTGTTTATCATCGCCTTGATTCCCGCCTAATGAAGTGATGTCCTATGCAATTTGAAAAAGATGTTGAATCGTGACCAACGAGGAATGAGAAAGAAACTTTCAAGTGTGATCCAAATTATATTAAGCGAAGAACGAGAAAGAGATAGCATGGATGGCTTTGCATTGCGCAATATATGGAATAATAAGTGATCCTACTGAATAGTAAAGATTGTAAAAAGGACTGATTCAAATTATACGCTTTATGATTTCTTTTTAACTAAATGTTTTTGAGTTTTGTTGTAATAAATCTTACTTAAGGAAAAAGTAGAGTGCTATGCCAAGTCTACCATCTACTATAGTTCTAGCAGCGTCAGGGAGAAGAGAGAGGTAATATGCTCTACGCAGTGAATAACACCCGCGATAAACGCGGAGCATGGTAGTGAAATGAGAAATTGTTAAATATGCGAGAACGGAACGGCATAATCAGATAGTGACAGTAACAAATATTGATAACAAAGTAATTTAAAATAGAAACAAAGTAATTTTTTACCGAAATATCCAGGATAAAAATCCATTGCCTGCAGCATTCCGCTAACTTTGAGATCTCTCAAATTTCGTCGTACTAGATACATTTTTTGACTTCTGCATTTACAATATCTCGGATGGCAGAAAAATTGTTGTCCTTCAAGTGAACGTATTTTTCACCCCGTACTTCGACCATTTTGAAATATGTCGGACAAACTTCACAAAGCAAATTAACAGATGCTTCAATTTCAACTACAAGGAGAAAGTTTCAGCTGTGATAAAACGTATTCAAGCATAATTTAAAATAATTTAATGGAATAAAAAGGAATAATTTTGTTATACCATGAAAAGCTCTATAAAATTATTGCACTCAGTAAGAGCTATTTTTGAAAACTATGTTGAATAAATTTATCAAATTAATATAAATTCACACCTTTCGAAATACTTCCAATACTGAAAGCTAATTTATCGATTAATTCCACGAATTTCATTGATCCAATCTTTTTTAAATTGTAGTAGCTAAAATTATGAATTTCTAAATAAATGAAAAAAGATCTTAAAGATTCACTCATCCTTTGTTGACCCTTAACTTACATTATTACTTAGAATTTGATTACTTACATAAATGGAAGAAATAGACTGCATCAATCTTATCTTAGATAATAATAACTACAAATACTTCTTTGTGATATTCAAGAAATGAGTTAATAGAACATTTCTTATTCCCCTTGCCAATTATGAGTCATTGCAGCTGAATGGCCACAGACTAATCCCCAATTTCATCTTTTAAGGATAACAATAACAAAAATACGAAACAGTAATATTTCCATTAAATTAAAGTTATTCTAGGCTAACAAGGTTTTGCAGTAGCAAGAAAAATTTGATGATAGCCGAATAAAGAAAAAGTTTCTCTGAACTTCGTAATAAAAATTAACTCCATTTCTTTTTCCTTCCAACTCGAAGTGATAAAGATTTGGAAATAAGGTGTCATATTTCCGTGCGATAATATTAAATCGACAATGTTAATTGTATTAGAATTCGCGAAATCTGAATAAATAATATGTTTAATTCACCTGCAAATGCACTGCAGCAACGAATGGGAAACCCTTTCCAATCTTCCTTTTCTCTGTTCCATTTCAGGATTTCGCATCATTTCCCGACGTTTTCGCTCTCTTTCTTTGGCTCGAATCTTAAATTTTTTACGGTTACTGGGAATAATAATTTATAAATAAATTCTGTTCCAAAAATACAACGTTTTAGGAAAGATGAGATATATACTCTTTCTAGAAGACTTGGTTTTGAAGTATTTTTCGCTTCCACATAATATTTCTTCGGCGATAATGGTACGTATTTATCAGCAACAACAGCGACTTTTTTTTCCGGACTTCTGAGTTCCTTGATCACCATCTAGAAGTCATTTAATATTAAATCACTGAAAAATTGCGAATTTTAACAACATTACTTTTTAAAATACTATTATACACAATTAGCAGTAATGCAAAAATTAACCTTAATTTTCTCAGGAAGCGTACCACTACTATCAGGTACTGCTTTCAAATATTCCCTCATCGTTTCGGGTTGACCTGCATCGCCTTTCGGCATTTCAGGTAACTTTGCAGGTTTGATGTCATCGACAGCGTCAAGGTCAAAATCAGGGTGGTATCTTGGAAGTTGCTCATCGGGAGAAATTTCAACTGGAATAGCAATCAGAATAGATATAATTAACTAATGAGCATGTGTAAAACAACACCAAAAGCTTAGTTCAACTGTAAATTCGCCATTCGTAAAGCTTCTGACGTAATTTTTATAAGGAAATGTTGGAAAGACAAATCAAAAACATACTTCCTTCATTCTTCAAAAAAGCAGCATGCTGTATATTTACCAGCTTGCGTAAACGATTTCTGAATTCCAGTTTCCGATACAAACGACGAGCTTCTAGTTTTGGTGGGCATCTGCAGAGTAATCTACAGGATAACTTATACCGGAATAACAATAACAGAAACAACAGACGCAATATTTTCATTTCATTAAAAATTAAATTGTCTTGTTTCTTCTCGACTCTACAGTGGAAGAAAAATCTTACCTTTTCTCCTTTTCTACAGTTTTTATTTTTTGATGACTTACAAGATTAAATGTAACTTTAGTATTTACCTAGTAACCATATTTGGTCCACACGATGGTTTGATTGGTGATATCGACGTAGCTTTTATAAATGGTGGTGAAGTCATTAGATTCCGGGTACGTGAAATTAGTGAAACTTTGCAAGGCGAATCCAACGTTGGATTGGCTGGTAAAGATCTCGACGATGCAGTTCCTTCTACATTTTCTTGGTGCGGAAAAACAAGGTCTGTAAAACAAAGAGAAACTTGATGGCCCTTCTCATTCTAAAAAATGATTTCACCTCTGCCTTTCATTTCGATTCTCTCCAATATCATAAAATTTTAAAGATCACAATATTTCAAAATTTAAAAGAAATTACAGCACCGTTGACAAGATTCGGTTCAATCACATATTCATATTCTTTGAGATTGCAATGCCTGCCACCAATTGGCATCCAACGCCGCTCACATCGAATGTTATACGATTCAGGGTATATCGATAATATCATTGAGAATTGCTGTTCATTGTAGTTGCTAAAAATAAATACCATTCATCCAACTAGTTCGAAACATTTTTTTTAACAGCAGGACTTATAAGATCCACTTTAAAACCACTCGTAGTCTTTCTTTTCCCATCGCATTCTTTATAAAAATCAATCAAATACCTTTTTAATTTACGTTGAACATTAGTCATCACTTCACTTAGCGTAATTCGTTTTCCTTGCGTCTCTAGCCAAGAAACAACCTAAAACAAATTGAAACTTAATTCTGAAATTATAAAATATATCCAGTACCGACGGCATCGCCATGTAAAAACATTGGATCCAGTTTTTTGCCGGCAGCGCTCTTTTCAAGTGTTTATCCTCGCTATAAGCAAAAAAAACTTTTCAGTATATAATGGCATAAATTCATATCTGAAATAAAACTCAACATTCTGAACCATAGTGTTTAATTCCAATTACACAAATTACAATTTGCAAATAAACAGACAGGTTAACTTTTGGCCAAATCTAAAACAAGTTTCCCTTTTAATTTACTTATTTTTCCAAAATATTTTCAAAAGTGACTTGCCACTTCTGTATAGTCAAACAAGCGCAGTAGGTGTTCATACTTTGTCGGAAGTGGAAGTGTATCATGTAAAGTCGATTCTGTGCTGTTTTTGACGCTTTCAACCAATTTTACTGCGCTTGGCAAAATGCTAAAATTTGAGTTGTTAAAATGCCAAAGAATATTGTACATGAAATTTTATACATGAACAGTACGATTTAGCGCGAGAAATAACAAGTCTCACATTCAACCCACGAATGGTCTTAAAAAAAGCACAGGAGTTTACATTAAAACAAAATATTTCAGATGGAGTAAGAGCTTACGTTAATAATGGGCGACTGTAGCTAAGATAAAAAGTAACTATTATAAGGTAATTACGCTAACATTCCATTACCAATAAAATTAACCTCAAACCAGTATTGTTCCCTTCGCTGGTTTCAGTTTCAGGAGCCACCATAAAAGCAATTTTCACCGTATCATCCTTAATTTTATCGTAGACACTTTCCCGCTTTTTTTTAGACTTAATTTCAGCCTTTTTCTTTGTTGGACACGTAAATAAATTGCTGTTCCCTTCAACTTCCAAACTGGATTTACTACCATCATTATTACTCTCCTTCATCTTATCAGTCTTCAGAGCAGCGTCTGCCTCATATGTTATTGGCAAAACCCATTCTTGGCTGCTGTTTTCAGCTTCCTTCTCAGATGTTTGCAATGATTTTAAACAAGCCACTTTGCTGGACGATTCCAGAGTACGTTTAGCAGTTTCTACCTACAAAAAACCACTTCCAGTTTAAAGTCCGATGTTCAGCAAACGGAGTTCATCTTAACATCATTGAAAAAGATGTAATGATATCTATGTAACAGTATAGCAGACAGTATATTCTAAAATTGCAAGTGAAAAAAATAAAGCAAAGGAAACATTTTAGCTGAAGAAAATACTCTGAAACACAGTCGATATAACCAAGCAACGTAATGGACGTTTTTATAGCTAATACTGGAATTTTTTTCGGGTGATTTTTTCGGGTATTTACCTATTCGCCCTTTATTGCTGCCTACCAATCGCACTAACAACAAAACATACCTGTCATTATCTGACTTCAAAGCTAATAATCTGATTTTGAATAATATCATGCTTTATTCTCGGAAGAATTCAAGTTTATAACCCACTAACCTCATCATTTTCGGCAAACACCTTAAGACGTTTCAATTTTTTGGCTGGATCACGATGAATGGTCCGGAAATATTCGATTACTTTAGTTTGACCACTCGCAACCGATGCTGCAACTGGGCAGTCCGCTTCTTCTGCCGCCTTACAACGAATTTTTGTTCGTACTTTTCTAGTTGACATATTTGAAGGGAAATTCCTGATTTACCACAAAATTATTTAAACGGAATCTACAAAAATCATACGATCTACTTAAACAAAATATTTAAACGGACCCTACAAAAAACATTTAAGTAAACACTTCAAAACATATTCCATATTATGTAGTTCATACCACTAAGGACATAATCTCGATCTGAAACGAAACACTTTGTATTTTGAATCAGCATTATAACAACTAGAAATCTAAGAGAAAAACTACTATCTGCGGTACCACTGAAAAAATTATAAAGGAGCGGTAAAGGAACTTAGACTGTTCGAAAATGTCTCGGAAATGCACAGCAATTCAATCTCTTCCTCATAAAAGACTTAGATGATAAATAGTTCGAAAGAAACTTTCTGCCAACTACTTCTAGGGGTGAGGTGTCCTCCTTCCTCTCTGTGGCAGAAATCGCCAGCTCCTGTCCTCTTTTCAACCCCGAATTTAAACCATTCAATTTAGCCGCATCTTTCACTCGATAATCAATATTCAGAATGGTCTCACGACGACATTACCGTAGCGACCGAATGAATTAACGGAATGCCCTGTTGGTTGTTGGTCAGTGAGGCGAGGAAGAGCCCGTTTTTTTACATGTGTGTGCTGAAGGCTAAGAGGAGGAGAAGGTCAAGACAGCAGGGATAGTGACGCCCTGTGTGGATACGACGAGGCTTATAGTACGATAAGGGGCAAATATAAGTAAAAAGACGGTCCACACTCCCTATCACCCGAGAATTCCCAACAAGGGCTCGCTAAACCTTTAACTTTGGCATTGCTTGGCCGACTTGCATGTGTTATATTGATGTCATCCCGAACAGTACTTGCTCTCTTAACAAAATGATGGGGTTTGTGGTGCAAGCATATGTCAGTCAGATTTATTCTACATAACATTCAGAAAAAAAACAAACATTCGACATTTTCTTTGTCCAACAACAGCAGAAATAACGATTAGCTTTCATGGTTGCACTTAGCCGACCAAGAGAGTATCAATAGTTACCGACACAATTACTAGTCACTTAGCAAACAAAAAAAGGACACGGCAATAACTCGCACCGATATTAGCATTGACGACCACTTATACTATTCACATACAATGTTTATTTCAAACAGTAAAGATTTTGTGTATATACAGACAAAAAAACGATAAAACATCTCCGTATGCTTGCACTCCGATCCATGCAAACGCCACCTGTTTTAATTCCGCGATTTTTCAGCGAATGAAGCGCGAGAACTCGCCCAATAGACGCGGAAAAGTTCTCTGTAGATAAGACATGAAAGTTAGAAATGCTTGTTCGATAATTCAAGTCTAATAATAAGCTGCTATGATAGATTTCACGACAAGTTTTTGTACAAAAATCGTAATTTTGGATGCACCCAACTTCTTGGATATATTTTCCTCACAGTAAAGGCTTACTGTCAAAAAAAAAGCGCCCAGATAACAATTATTCATACCTTCATCGCGGAACAAACTCATTAAGCCGAGTCATGTTCGCTGCTTATTCATGAAGAAAAACAATTTTCAAATCCTATTCTGCAAATACGCGTATTTTGAAATGGGGCATCTAACCCTTTCGCAAACTTCAAAAATGCTAACATCGAACAAACAAAACATTTAACATTATATATATAAGTTGTCACCAGCGAAACATGTAATAAAAACTGACTTAAATAAACTGAATCTAAATAACAAAAAGTAAGGATGAGCTTTTCGAATGGATAGAGTAAAGGTAGGAAAGAAACAGAGACAAAAAAACATGTTGCTAAACACAAGGTTATTTTCTTAATAGATGAATTAAAATATGTCCTTCAAAAATTATCAGATGATGGATGGATATAAAATGGGATTTTCTTTAAATAAATTTTACTAACTTCTAGAACCCTTCGATTGAAAGAAACGGCCACTAGTAAACAATGTCGAAGCAAACACATCAATCCAAACAATACAATAACTTCGTTCCATCTTCCACATATCTGCATAAAGAGGCCCTTATATTCTTCTCTTTCCTTGGTTCTGTACGATCCTGAAAATTATGGGTTTCAAGAGGTCCATTTCTAGGAAGGACTTTGTTACCATTCCAAGACTATTCTATGCTTACTTTTATTTTCGCGCCCCTTTTACTATACAAACAAAAGAAGTACTATTTGAGATGAGAAACTCATAATAATTTCATCCTTTAATTTCTCAACCTCTTCCTCCTCTTCTGGACTGTCGAATTTCGTGTTCGACGTTTGATGTTCCACCATATCTGTACCATAATTCACAGGAATTGATGTATAACCACTAGCAACAGAATCTGTGTTATTAGCAGATTCAAATGTAGACGTAGTTGTAAAAGTGTTAGATGTCTGATGTAACAGTGATGATGAAGATGATGGCGGCGATGATGATGGCTTGATACGAATGGCGCGATGAATATTTGCATCACATACTGCTTCGCAAAACACTGGAACATAAACCACGGGACGGGAGTCAAATTGCGGGCGGTTCTCATTAAATTCTTTCATTGAAAGCCATCGTAAATGTGGCGAAAAACAACCATCTTCATGCTGTCGACAATCTGTCAGCAAACTATCATTGCTTCGAAGTTGTTCGGTAAACTTCCGACCACGACATCTATTATCTCGAACAGTCATCGCTGCTCCACCAGAATTTGGTCGTTCGATACCAGTTGCCGTATTAAGCCTACTACGCCCGTAGGTAGCCTGAGTAACTCGGTCTCGACCTGATAATGAGGAGCACGTGAAAGATGCACGCATATCGAATGGGTTGCAATTTGGCGGTGCTCGGATCCATCTCTCATTCTCCTCCTTTGGTACCAGGCGCTCCTGAAATTGAAAAAATAGTCTACGGAAAAGATTTCGCACAATTTGTGATAAGCACCATATTTCTGATTAGTTTATCGCTGAATTATGCTAAATAAATGATGGACCCACAAATCTTTTGGATCTTTTCAAAAACTATGCAAATTTTAGTCCCAAGTTTGCATTTTATGCACATCATACCCGTTCGTTTCTATTAATCGCCTTTGTCTTTGATATGATTATGATCCAAGGGTTGTTAAATCACTAACTTGACTCACCGTGGACTTCAAAATCCCTCACTCGTCTGTTACTCCTTCCTCTCACTATCTTTCCCCTAACCGACGGTTAATTCAAAGTCTCGTCGATAATTCTGTCTTTTGTGAAGAAGCAATGTTGAAATGCACCAATGGAATTTGGAAATTTTTGTTTACAAGAAAAATTTCCAGCAAAAAGAAAAATTGATGGTGTTCATTTACGTATCTTGACGGAAAACAGCGCAAAATCACATGTTGTCCAGCTGTGTCTAGTGTTCAAACTGCCTTGTTATCAGCTTGATTTATAGCTTCTATTCTCCCACTCCTTGCTCTACCATACGAATATATAATTAAGAACAGAAAAGAGGAAAAAGAAGCTCCGAAGAAAGAGATCGGGAAAGTCGGGTGAATAATTTAATGAATAATGTCAAAATAAAACAAAACAGGGGTGCAGCCGGTCGTTTGTAAATAACTTTCTTCCCTCCGAAAAACATTTCATTTTTAACGAACCAAAAATGATAAATCAAATAATTATCTAAGACGCCAGAAATTCACATTATCCATCTAGAAAAGAAGAAATGAAAGAAGACAAAGGAAGGAGGAGAGAAATAGCCTAAGAGGATAAATGAATGATTTTCAAGCAAATAAAGATGAGAGCAAAAAAAATCAATATGAAGCTCAACTATTTCTACACGTTTTAGCTGCAATGAAATGCTGCAAACAAGTATCTGAAGAATCCCATCTGTTCCTTATTCGCATCATTTATCTGCTGATGTAACAAAAAAAAAGGAGTCCTCAGCCTATGAAATAATGTTTACCATTGCATGGAGAAAAGTGAAGTAATTCTTGGTATCTCAAAATATATCATTTTTCACTAACAATAAACAAACAGCACATATTCTTGGTAGAAAATATCATAAGGAATGGAAAAATGAAGTCATTAAGGTTCCATACAATTTACCTCAAACGAAAACCGGTCAATATGTACAATAAAGGTAATTAATTGAGGGTGGCGATGATACATCGCGAACATGGTAGATTCCATTTTTGTACTTTGGCTAATTTTAACACCATACTATTGTATTGTTCATTTTAATATGTTAGAATCGGCACACTTCGGTGAAACAACTGGCACAAGAAAAATCAAATGTTCCTTCTCAATATTTCTACATAGGGTTCTCAACACCCGTTTCGTGTGATCATTGGAATGTAGTTCAGAATGATAGCTGGTAAAATAAAATGGTTCAGCCCACTTTGCTTTAGGTCGTGGATTTCAGTAATGTTTCTGTTGCTCTGAAATCAAAAATCTATTCGTATTGTGATCCAGATGTGTTCAAATCTGTCAACAGTGAGAAGATGAATCACAACACAATATTTTTATAACAATTCTCAACCGTAAATTTTATAAATTTTCTTTAATCAGGCGATTTTTACCTAAAGAATGAATGAAAAATGTATGAAAATACAAAAAAGAGCAGGAAGAAAGATGACTAAAAATCCTCCTGCCACCATTTTTATGAAAGAATTACCTATTTTCTTCTTCCTCATTCTTTTCCATTTCTTTTGACGAAATATCTAGACGTCTTTTTTAACTGCTAACGAGAAAATTTTCAAACCGTCTATAAATTACCAAACAATAAAACGATGTAAATGTTACTCTACTTTTAATATCCATCCTACTCCTTTTGGAATAACTTTACAGAAAAAGTTCTATCCGTTACAATCTAAACATATGGAGGAAACGGATTGGTAGTTGTCCTTTTCCACGGTAAGTTAGAGTTTGAGATGAATCTGAGATGGAATAAATGTTGAACAAACTGATGAAAATTATTTTTGATATAGAATTACTTCTGTAAAAAACGCAAATGTAATATCTGATGATTTTCACGCATGTGTGATGATGAAGAGCTTAAACTGCGAACAGATAGATGAAGAAACAACTAGACACAACATTATTGCTCTTAGCTGCCATCACAGCGGTATGTACGACGTTTATAATTTGACAGACCGGTTCCGCTACAGAAAAAACATCTTGCGCGATCCATTCATAGAATATTTATAAAAATTTCTGTTAAGGTACACAGCTTATTTCTACAAATTGCTCTTTTATGTCTCCCAAGATATAGTGATTTTTTGCGTGCTTTATTCAACATAATTTTCGGTTATCTACGAAAAAAAGACATTAGCTAAAATTAATTTTTGCTATCAAAGAATTTTAAAATGGTTCTTTCTTAAGAAAAAAACCTTATTTCAAAGTCAAAATTTTCCGACTTTTTAGCATCCATCAGTGAGCATCCAGAACAAACAATCCAACTACTGGAAGAAAATTACCGCACTTCTTGCAATTTGCATAGGATGACACAAATGTCATCAAATGGACATTAAATACCCGTACATGTAAATCCGAAAATAAAGGGTGAAACATGAGAAAGAACAGTGATTTGTTTGAAAGGACAAAAGATATTGCCTGACTTATCAAATTCAAACAAAATTACTGAAATGATATGATTGCGAAAGACTCGAAAGAAGAGGGCAGACTCTCACTCCTTACACACTGAAGGCTCTGCCCATGGTATAGGAAACTCTCATTTTTTGTATCTTTAGCTATCATTTGATCCTTAGCCATCATTGAGAATCTAAGAATCATCATAAAAAAATTACCATACCATGCCGAAATAACCATTTTCACCATCGGTCAGATAAACAGCCGCTGGATAATTGGTTTGCTGGAAAAGGCTGAAGGATGCTGAAGAGGTTGCTGGTTTCTGCTCATGCAAGTGGCGTAGATGTTCGCCATGATCATGTGAATTAGGTGAAGCATTGCATTGATAAAGTAATGTTGTTGTAATGGGAGATTTTATCAACTGTGGCTCGTTTTGTACGCCACCAGTATTGCAGCAACATTCAGAAATGTCAGGATTTGAAAGTACCGTGCCAGCCGGAAGTGAAGTATTTGCCTGTACTGATGATAATGCAGATGTCGCAACTGACAAGGTAGTAGCGGAATGCGGATCCGTCTGAATGGCTTTCTGCTGGGAATTCTGTTGTAAAGGAGATGAAATGACAGATGACAAGTCACTGTTGTTGGCAGTAGTAATATTGCTGGTGTTAATTAGAATCCGAGTTGCTGCACATCCCGCTCCACTACTTACACTTAGTCGATTGACAAAAGAACTCAACTTTGCCCTATAATAAGTGAGGAGATAAGTAATCATGAATAAACGAAAATAACTGCACGAAAATACCGGTAAGTTTTTAAATCCATCATTTTGAGAGTGGACATGTAAACAGTACCCCACAAAATTAGACTAAGAAAATATATTGCGATAGGGAGAGGGAATGTAACAGTCGGATAGTACCAATGCATAAGGTGATGAATTCTTGCAGGGTCAAAGCATGCCAAGAATGATTCTCAGCACCTTCACCAAAAATCATTTGAACCATAAAAAAGTCCAAAATCAATTATCTTTCTATTGGAAGACCAAATTACTCTACGAAATATTGCAATAAACCTGAACTACATGTTATTCTAATTAAATTATGATTTGCATCCATCGAATTTTGAAGTTATTTCGAGTAAGTGACGTGTTCTGAAAAAATTAATTGCCAGCCACTGTTATTATGTTAGTTTCTAAAAGCTTCCGATCAATCCGCGATGCCTATTTTCCTCATTTCTGGTTTACATCAAAATACACAAATGACAGCATCCTCTTCACTGATTTCAGGATTATTCGAAAGAAAATATTGCAGTGTCCTTAAGACTGACTTCATTTCTGCCACCAAAGCCACTGATACAAGTCATCAAAACGAAGCAATCTTAAGGGTGCGAAGTGAGCTTCATTGATGGGATAACAAACCCGCCTAGTCATACCTGTTTCACACCTTCAAATTCTGGGTGAATGCATATACAGATAAAGGGAATCGACGAAGCGACTAACCTCGCAATTGTAAAAATCGAATGTCGTTGTCGTTGTGACAATTTTTCCAGTTTTTGATTGCCAAATGAAAGTGTAGGACTGCAACCGTCGCGCCTGATCTCACCCGTGGCCTCTTTCTTCGAACCGATCGAGGAAATCTCCTTTGGATGAAGCTGTCGTTGTTGAAAACTGCGCTGATACGATACAGTTTTTGTTGAGTGGTGTTGCTGCTGTTTGTATGCGCGCAGTCCGAGTTGGTTGTAGAGATCAGGGCAGCAGGCTGCAGCTTGCGGTTCATCCAGTCTGCTCCGTCGCCTTCTCTAATTATTCGCTTACTTCTTCCCCTCTCTTCCTTGCTTGTTGACACGTTGGTATGACCTTTATGTAACGTCTGTCTCCTCCGCGAATCACCTCTATCCTTTCAAATTTATGCATTTTTAGAAACTCATAACCATATAAAATACGCGCATTGCGCTTATACAGACATAAGTTGAAAAAAAGACTGTTTGTCCCGCATAATATTGCACACATGCATGCAAATTGTGCTATGTACATGCACAAGCCAACATAGCAGCGCATGAGCGCAACAACTACAGGAAGATAAAATAATCCGCAATAGAGCCAATCTCTGGACCACCTGACGACCTCTCCCCATTCCCTCAGATGGAAGGAGTACCAGCCTCAAAAGACAGCATCCGCCATCATCTTGCTGCTCAATTCAAATTCCCCTCCTCTGTGTCTTTGCCAAGTGATACCGTCAGGTGGTATGTTGTCTCTCACTCTCTGTACTTGTATATTGTGTCCCTTTGCTTATCCTAGCAGAATGTCGCTCTTGCAAATGAAAAGATTGAGTGTCTGCCGTCTGTCTCCTTTTTTTAGAAACTCTCTAGACTATATCAAAACTACTCTTATATGTCATCCTCTATTCTTTGCTGTCTGTAATGTCTCGACACTCCGGCTCACCCACGCACGCTCGCACGTATCTACTGCTTTTCTTCCACCCAAACGAGTAGTGACGAAAACCATTGTGCTCAACAATTGTTTCTTCTTTTTTGTTTCTCTGCAAGCAGCACGTCGTAAGCATGCAAGGATGCATGCATTTACATGCATGCATGCATTAAGCTACACTTCACTGTCTAAGATCTATTCTTCCAAAAAACGGCTTAGATGGGTCCGGACGATACATTCTTGAATGTGAAGCTTATTCGAGAAACACGCATACAAAATTTATTCTACGTACATACGTTTTGCTAGTGGTCAACAGTGTAGACTGATCTATAGTACATGATCTCTCAAACATTCGTATAGGATTTGTGTAGGCGAAGTTGCAATGCACATCTTTGCAGTGACAGATCTCCAGCAGGCATTACTGTTGCCAGTATATCAGTTATGCCTTACCTTATCGTGTCATTAAATAGAGCCAATTTCGAATTACCTCCCATTGAGCGGCACACTTTCAACACACAGCGCCTTACTCCCATTCCCATCAAAGAGAGGAATGACACTATCAGACAACCAACCATACTTTGAACATTTCAAAATTCGCTGCCATCTTTCACTTCCAAAAACATTCCACATGTACCCTGATTTATCATGTAAGTATGGAAGATGATATCATCATTATCTACATAATTATGATGGTGTTCGCCATTATTATGCGTGATTGTGGTAATGATCTTGGTTATCCTGATTATGATAGATGTCATTTCATGGATGAAAGTAATTCAGCAGTGGTGTAATCAATTCTCAGTGAAAACAATGAACCGATGATATACGAATATTGTCTGCAATAGTTAAAATGCCGACCATTATGACCGTGTCACATAATCATCTTCGTTTATTTCTAGAAATAACTTTCAAAAAAGTACCAACTTCTGCTGCACATTTGTAAGTTTAGAACAATGAAAGATGTATTCTGGATTCATTTAAATATAAATATATTTACAGAGAGAGAGAGAGAGGAGATGTTATGATAGAAAAAAATATGATATGCAAAAGAGTATGATGAATTTCTTCTTATTTTGGCTCGCTTCCTCTGCCGCCTCCTTCACCTCTAACTTGATTATTTCTCTCTCATATTTATCTCCATCGTATACAATCAACAGATTGTAACAGAAATGGCGAAGATATTGGAGTAAGAATTGGCTAAGAATTACATTTATTTCGTACCATAAATGCCAGTCACAATTGTGATTCCCATTAAGAAATATAACACATTTAAATTTCTCCAATTTATATAAATAAACATGATCATAATCTGATCTAATCTAATCTATCTACTCTATCAATAATATCTGCAACTCTTCAATTACTGTAATCTATTTCTTTAATAGTTATACAATATATGAAATATATATGCTATTGATTGAAATATAAAATAATCATAACATCTCATACTAAATTTTAAACCAAATATATCAATTAACAGTCGTTGTTATGATTAATTGAATCATTAAATATTCCTAATCGTATTTCCTATTATATATCAGATCGCTGCATTAAAATCCAACATGAAAAAACTATTGCATAAATTTAGAATTCAATCAGCTACTGAATAATGATATTTTACTTCTCCAATTTCATAACAATATATTGGTGAATATGACTTGTCTATATACGGGTCAGTGTCATTTGTTTGTTTTAAACATATGACCTGTCTGTTTAAATGTAATCAATGTAGAGATTCAAAGCATGTCGCAGTCGTTTTTTATTCTCCAAATTCAAGTAGGCTTCTTGAAATGATAAGCATGCAAGCTAATTTCCAACATTTTGGAATTTTAAGTTTCAAAAAATATTTTTCACAAAAACCGGAAACAATACTAAATATCTAAAAAAAAGTGCACCAGCACTAAGATGAATAATAAATAATTCATTGACATATGAACCTGTGATATAGGGAAAACAGTAAAATTTCTGTTATAATGACCTGTTAGAATCAATAATTTATAAATAACACTTGTTTCAAACTTCTTAAAACGTCTCCAATGACATCTTTCCAGAAGAATCAAAATTAAAATACGGCAAAATGAATCTCGAGCAAGTTTCATTAAGCAATCTTACAGCATTCGTTGTATGCTGATATATTTCCGGTTTTTTGATGATCATAGATTAGTGACATAATCATCAAATATATTCATTCCTCAAATTATTCATAAAACTTGAAATTATTTGAAACTTTGCCGAATCAACAATCTTTTTTTAGTAATAGTTCTGCATTATGCAAATTAGTGCTAACACTAATCCTGCGATATCAAGAGATCAGAAAATTTGCAATGTAACTACAATTATATATTTTAAGCTATACAGCAATAAAAAGCAGAATGTCTCCTTCCAGCAGAATGCAATAATAAGTATGATGATTACCCTGTAAGAAAATATGATGCATGCAAAGATTTGATTCATTTAAAATTTGATTTAACATTCATATTAATCATCTCTCCTGCAATGTTGCATCATTCTGTTCGATTTGTTTAACTCTAAATTTATAATATCTTCGTAATGCTAGCTCACAAGCTTTATTAGCCATTTTAAAATATTCTTTTCATGCTTCAGCTAAGGTTCAATTCACTTTAAACTAATATCAGTTGAAAAAGGTTACCTAAAAATTTGCTACTATTTTAAAATTTGATCCTCATTACAAATGCCTACATTATATTTGCTATGATGATTGAATTTTTTTAAAAGTTATCGGTATGATTAACATCCGTCATTTAATTAAAAGGATTTATGTAAATTTTGAAATAAAACGAACCTTCAAATTTCTTTAAACAAAACATATTGAGATGTAAAATGAGATTTGAAATATTTATATGAACTTATCATTTATAGTGATAATCAATAAGAAATTATATACGCTGATAAAAATATCATTTTTATATTTGCATTTCTAATCTCAATTCTTATATGAAATTAACATAGAAAAATTTTAAAATAAAAGAGCAAAATAGTAACAATGTTTATTAGATCCAAAAAGAGTACTGCTCTTGTTCTGATAAAAGAAGATAGAAAGAGATCATTTTAACATTTCATAAAAATGTCTTCATGCCAACAATTAACTCTTCCTCTTCATCTTTTATCAGAACAAAACAAACTTATGAATTATGAACTGTCAACTTGCATCATTCTTCCATCTCTAAGTGATATCTGATGATATCATTTAAATGACAAGACTTTCACGTAATCTGTGAGGAAGTTTATGTTCTGATTAGTATTTCCCATTTATCTTCTGAAAAGAGTAGTATCAGTTAAAAAGATGAAGAAAACAGCGTTTGAAAAAATATAGCCCATCACTTTTTTATTAGTTTACCAACTAAACTAAATTTTCAGGAAAAAGATCTTTCCCTTTACAATTAAGCAATTTGTCGAAAAATGAGATTTCTCGACAACTTCTGCTGACATGCTTGTTGATTGGTTCTAGGACTTTCCCAACCAAGAACGAATGATCCATACTTGGATGAAGTTGTTAGTTCAGGCTGTAGATCGCTCAATGGCGATGAAAAAAGTTATGGAACACAAAATGCCGCATTCACCACTGTCATTTGCATGTTTTGAACCGATCTATTTTTATGATCCCAATTCTATGTATTGAATTCCATAACATTTCTCTTTTATATCCTTCACCATGTGACAACTTTCTTCTCTGTTAACCTAATTTTTCTGGATAAATTATAAACTTTTTACCAATAATATGTATTTGCCTGTTCCATATATATCAAAGGAATACCTAGTAATTCATCTTTGCGTATCTGAATAGTAGTGAAACAAAAGTCTTTTACATTATATTCTGCTGATGTATGATGATGTTGAAATGTGAGTGAAATTAGTGGATTAAAACATTTTGTATAATGCTACACTAATAATATAAAACTACATTAATGCATACAATCTGCACATTTTAACAATATTGACATTGTAAAATCAATAGTACAAAGTTCTGTACAAAAACAAACAATTAAAAACCATTATATTGCTCCAATACAATCATTTTCACCACAAATATATCAAAGCGATGACTATACCACTTCTTTTTCAAAATTCGTTTAACTCCAAATTTTTGGTCAGGCAAACAGAAAAAAGTAAATATCGTAATAATTGTCACTTTTGCATAATGTTTCTGATATCAGGTGCTTTGATGAAGGCATAACCATTAGCCGTATCAGCTAATTTTAGTATATCCAGCATGTGCTTTGTGCTTGTAACATCCAAGCCCATAAACTTTACCAAATCATAATCGCCTATTACCGAACAGAGCGTTTCATTCAACCCTTTATATTGTTTGAGTATTGGTGACTCCTAAAAATTCTCTTTGAGTAAGAAGAAATCTTTTGTAATTATTTGATGCTTTGAAAAGTAATCCATATCGTACTGGATATAAAATGAGATAAACACTTCATATTCTGTCATTTACAAATGTTTCTGAATAAGCTGGCTACAATATGTTGAATCATTGAAAAGATACTGCGTTTGCAAATACTCACATCAAGCAATTCGACCAACCGCAACGCGTCCGGAAGTTGTTCAAAAAATTCGAAGTTGTACGGTAAGTCATTATCTTCCAATAAATCCTTCTTCGATAACACATTAATTTGGGCGCACTCCAGATTTACCATGATGGCAAGTGCACTTAACAATACCGAGATGAATTTACCTGCATCCGAACAATATAAGCTATCACTGAGATGCACAGCAACCAGACGGAGACCCCATTTTTCCATCTTAAAGTTGAACTGAATGAGTTTGTTCAAATCCGTTTATTATTATAGCCTCTATACTTTACAGACAATAAGTGATAAGTTCTCAGGATTGAGTTTAGAAATAACTAATACTTATGTGACCATAATTATATAGGCAACAGACGCAAGAGCTCGATCTTTGAACCGTCAAAAATTTCAACAATATTGGACAATGTCCAAAACTAGATATGACTAAAATTTACCTAAACGGTTCAGCCACTTCCTAAAACCTTCTACATTTCGATACCAAGACTGCTTCAAAGAAGCAAAAAAAATAAAAGTACGAAGTGATCGTAGCATGACTAAAAGCACAACTGCGAAAAAGATACTGAAAAGAGAAACACCATCATACACTATGGATAATAGATGTGATGCAGTCGTCACTATTGTACAGCTCAAGCTGTCCTGGGAAATCAAAAAGCAAATATCCATCTACATGCGACAACTTCAATCGTAACCATTCTATATTCCTCTTCAAAGTTTGCATACAATACCTAAAAAGCATAGGCTAAAGCAACGCTCCATTAAAAAGTTGAATTAGGTCCATACCATATGCTTCGATAATACTGAGCACATTATAACATTCCGGAACAAAAGAAAGCCACTTGCATGTTCAGATATTCTATGATAAGTGAGCAAATAACCACTAAGCGCTAGCTGCTAAATTATTGTCATAAAAAGCAATAATAAATAACCTTAATGCTCCATTAGGGCCAAGATATAACCGACTGGTGATATCTTCCACTTTCACCAATTCACGAATATCGATATCACATTTGTATGGCACATAATCATTTGCTGGATCTAAGTTCACACAAATCACACGTCGGCCAAGTTGCGATAAGATCTGACTCATGCCATTGCAGTAAGTTGTTTTCCCTGCACCCGGCGCACCAATAACGATTTGTCCGAACATCACTGATTTATCATTTCAAGTTTTAAATACGTGGCATTCCTAAAAATACTGCATTTGCTGACTTATAGGCAGATTCTGCAAAATGATTTCAAGTGATTAGGAATGTTGAACATGGAAGAACAATCTTTTTGCATCATCATCACATACATACATAACTACCGTCTTATACTTACACCACACTTCAAAATATTAACATTCTCGATGGTTCCTCAGCCCTGCCTGTATCATTGTCGTATACCGTTCCCTCTCAATATTCTCAACCTCTGTTATAGTTGTAAAACTGTGATTAGTTGCTAATTTTCTTATTTCCTGCTTCTCTCCTGCAATTTCAGCAATCTTTATCTCTCTCCGTTTTCTCCTCCACTTCCAACCATTAGCAGCCTCTAACTACTCCTAAATCAACATATCCCATTCTCCCCACATCCCGGGACGCCGTAATACCGTCCCTCAGAAATTACGAAAGGCATTCCATCGTACTGCTCGAAGTTTCCATACAAATTTCGGTTTGTGTAAAACGAATTTTCCTCATTACTGTTATTGGCAAGTTGCCTTACCTTCCATAATTGTCGCCGGCTGTCAGCAATGATGTATGGGTGAATGGAATATTTTGAAATTCCAACTAATGTAATTAATGAGAAATTTCATTTGATACTGTATGGCATAAATTATTCAGTGATAGTACCATGACTTGCAACGATCTTTTGGAATATACAATTTTTCATTCTTACGTGTTATTTTTGATATCCTCAACAAATATATAATTTTTTTACGATTAAGTAACATTCTAACCTTTTCGTGGTTTTCTTGAAGATTTACTGGTCGTTTTATTTCCTATAAAATGACATATTTCAGGTGTTGCATCATTGTTTGCTATTTTGTTGTGTGCTGAGGGCAGGTTGTGTGGCAACAAAGTACGGCCTTCTAAAAAATAGAACAAAGGAAAAAGATAGTAACGGCTGTACGGTTATTAATCCGTAGTTATTTTAAAGAAAATACGGAAAAAGTGTTGGAAATTGAGAATAAGGGATTCAGCTCGAATGTCGCTGGGAAGTGACGAGGCGATGGATGATGATGATGCATTTTCGGGTGGCTCGGAAAGTGATGCCACGTCAACGTACAGTGATGATGATGGTATTGTGGTGGATCCACCTGTAATCAAAACGGAACGTGGAGGTAGTCATGATAGTGAATCAGCTGATTTCCAGGTCTCTTGTTGAATTTTGCCATGAATTTTGAACTGAAAATGATAAAACATTGGTAGGATGGAATAGATGAAGAACAGTTTGACTTAAAGATAACCGTGAAATGTTTGGTACTTCTAATACCATGGTTTCAGTAATTAGACAGAATCTATTCGACCACTTACTGAAAACCATTTCCACTTCGTACTGCAAGTGCATACGGCACTCAAACTCTTCTGCTATTTGAATCTCATTCATTGATTGTAATAATTTAAATTTCGTCTTATTTTTATTTTTATGATTGCTCTATTAGGACTGTTCAATAAATGTCAGCGAACTATTAGATAAACACTAGAATTGGGAAAGAACTTATTAGATCTGAATAGCATGAATGTAAAGAGAGTGTAAGCAAAACACTGTCAAGGACAGTGAAAGACAAACCTGAAACAGTTTTCCAGACAGAACTCTACTTTTATTAACTCCTTTATAATATTAGTTGTTTGATTTTAGTGTTCCAAATTTATTATATAACTTTGTTGATTAATTCGGTCCCTTTTTTACAGAAGTATAGGTTTTCTTGTTTTGTATTTACTTCACAATGTTTCTTTCTTTCTTTGCCTTTCATTTTACAATTGTTCGAATTGTAGGCAAAGCTAAAAGTCATTATTTTGAAATTTTCTAGGTTTTCCCGAAACCTGGCTTCATCTTTATGTTCTGTAGTGTTTAGAGTGCTCCAAAAATTCAGCATTCAGTAAATGGAGCATAATAAGATGTTAGTCCGATCCAGGAAATGCTATTACAGCGATGATTTCGTAATAATTGTCTCACTTTTTTCTACTGAATATCGGCGATACTTGTGCATTATCTACGTGACTATTTGGGCTAACTAGACTATCTAATATTGTACGTGAAATAACCCTAATTTAAAAAATCCAAAGTGTTATAAAATGAATATTTCTGAATTTGACAAGTCATCACAGGTTATACTGGTGCAGTGTTTATTGAAAAAACTTTTTGCAGGTGTTGGATGCCGAGAAAGTGGCTTTGGAAATGAATAAAATCATAGAGGATGTTGCGTCAGTGTTGCGTCTATCGGCAACTATCTGTAGATTACTTTTGCATCATTATAAGTGGAATAAAGAAAGTTTGCTAGAAAGGTATGTCTTTCTTCATACAAATTACTTTAAATTCTTTGGTTAGTATATTTCATCCAAGATTGGTGATTCTCGTTTCTCACTGCGCAATTCATGTCTTACTCAAAGTTCGAATAAAATTTTGAGTCTGGCTATACTTTTTATTCTTTTGAGATCCCTAAAACATTGAAGGTTTTATGAAAGCACCGATATGGACTCGTTTTTCTTGGATGCCAACATTATTTCACCATTTAAAGTGGCACGCCGTGGTGATGAAGGGCTTGCTGATGTTGTTGATACGTGTGCAATCTGCTGTAATCATACCATTTTGACAAGCTTGCAGTGCAATCATCGTTTCTGTTATCCATGCTGGGATTCCTATTTGACAACTAAGGTAGGCGAGTAAAAATTGGAGACATGTAAGAGGAGAGAAATTCAGAAGTCTAATTAGAAATCATTCCCATGCTCTCATTGGCTTTCATGGACTTGTTTTAGAGAACATGAAAGAAAGCTAATATCATTCAAATTCAGATTATGGAGGAAGGCAAAGCTCATGTAGCTTGCCCGCAACACAACTGTCCAATCATAGTTGATGACGAGAAAACTTTGGCGCTTGTGAAAAGTGAAAATGCAAAGAAAAGATATCGCCGTTTGATAATCAATAGTTTCGTAGAGGTAATTGAAAATCAAATTAAAGTGTCGCAATCATTTGCTAATATGCTTATCTAAATCTATCAGGTAATATACAGGACAGTGTTCCTGTGCTTGAAGCTTCAACGTCGGAATTTTTTAACACTTACAACTTCTACATGGCAGTGAGATGTTTTAGTGAAGCCATGGATTTCTCAGAAAGCTTGTGGATTTTCGGAGGGAAGAGTTATTTGAATTTTTTTGTCTTATTTATTCAATTTCAGTGTAATCGTTTGTTGAGATGGTGCCCGGCTGCTGATTGTGGACGTGTTGTTGAAGTAGGACATTTGGAAGCACGTCCCGTCAAATGTAATTGTGGTACAGTTTTTTGTTTTGCATGTGGACACGAGTGGCATGAACCTGTCAGTTGTAGACTGCTGAAGCTGTGGATTAAAAAGTGCAACGACGATAGTGAGACGAGCAACTGGATATCAGCAAATACCAAAGAATGTCCTAAATGTCAGGTGAACTATTCATTTAACAGTTATGAAACTTTTACTTTATGTTTAGATTTGTATTTTTCCACTTTTGATTTGACCAATTTTTTTCTGATGAGATGTGTCAGTGATTGAGATAAGTGCTACTATCAGCTTATAATCCCACAGTGTTGTGTGAAGTGTCGAAAACTGTCGAAAATGTAGAGTTTTCGGAGGAATGTACAGCAATTTCGACATCTATTGAGGAAGTGAGAAGTTCGGAAGATATGAAATGCGAATCGCCATCTTAAGATTGTAAGGGGAAGGAAAGGATATTGTGTAAGTCCTGTTTGTCTGTACGTTTTCTTCGCTTCCAGTGTAGCCTCCAGTCTGTATCCTAGAATATTACTGGAGCCTGGATAAGGAGCTTATTTTAAAAGTAGAATTTTCCCTGTTTTGTAGGTAACAATAGAAAAGGATGGTGGATGCAATCATATGACGTGCAAGAATGTGGCTTGTAAAATGGAATTTTGTTGGATGTGTCTTGGTCCGTGGGAACCTCACGGCAGTTCGTGGTATTCATGTAATCGGTATGATGATACATTGGCGAAACAAGCACGTGATGCCCAAGAACGAAGTCGCGCTGCACTTCAAAGATACTTGCACTATTATAATCGATATATGAATCATCAACAAAGTCTTAAATTGGAACATAAAGTGAGTGTGCAGAAAATGCCATTCAAATTTAGAAGTAAAACAAACAAAGGGTTTCAGTTGGACACGAATAACATTTGATTCTTTTCTATCGGTGTAACGGAAGATAGATATCGATAAAAATTTTTGGATCAAAATTTTTGATAAAAATTTTTGGATCAAAATCCTTGTGAAGTTCCCTTCTTTAATCGCAGACAGTTCTTGAGGACCCACTTTTCAACATTCGAAGCTTAATTCTAGTTGATTTCCTGGTTTCATGATTCCCTATTTTCAGCTCTATTCAATTGTAAAGTCCAAAATGGAAGTTATGCAGCAGGCAAATATGTCTTGGATCGAGGTGCAATTTTTGCGTAAAGCGGTTGATGTGCTTTCGGAATGTCGCCGTACGCTGATGTATACATATGCATTTGCGTTTTACCTACAAAAAGATAATCAATCAGTGATATTTGAGGAGAATCAGCGTGATTTGGAACATGCTACCGAACAATTGTCGGAGTTTTTAGAAAGAGACCTGGACCATGAAAATCTCGTTAGTCTGAAACAAAAGGTAACTTCTTTTTTGCAAGTCACTGTTCTGTAAAAGCAGTAGGATTTGCAACTGTGAGATAGTACTGAAACAGCGAATCGACTTCAAAAATTTGAAGACAGCCATATATAGTTCAAGTTATCAACCATCTGTCAGAGGTGCATTTCGTAGTGGCATTTCATTCTTTGATTCAAAAGGTGGTGTACTGTCCTTCCCATGAAGCTCCATACTAATATAAAATACGATGCACTGACAGTTCTGGCAACTTCATAGATAAACCTACTGCTTTATTGTGGTCATCTATCGCGGAGAAAGTAGCTGACATGCATTGTTTCTTTCAGGTGCAAGATAAGTATCGTTATGTGGAGCAAAGACGTACAACATTGTTAAAACATTGTGCAGAAGGAGTGGAGCATGACTTCTGGAGGTTCACCGCCTAAATGTATGGATAGAATTGGAAATTCACTTCTCTGTCCTCCCCTTTCTTTTTTGTTCCTCGTCCCTGTTCCCGTCCTTGCTTCGTTCCTATGAATTTATCATGATGCATTAATGAATATCTTGACTTGAGAGTAACTGATTATAGTTCGTGTGAGTATGATAATTTTTCTTTTTTTCTGTTGCATCGTAATATGTGGTCTTTAACTGAATTTACCTTTTTTCAGAAAGATTTTTATAATATTTCAAGTCTTTCTACTTTTTGTGATTTAGAAAAATCACGATTAATGCAAAGTGGGATTTCTTCATTTTATTTAACTTTAGACTTAAAATAAAAAATAATTCAATAGATTTCGCGCTGTTTTATCAAAAGCTAGGAAAATTTTGGTCGATTCGGATTTTTGAAATTTAATAGTGATAATGACGTGCTTGGTGCTTGGTGTTTCATCTTTGTTCTTATAGTAGGCATGGGCATCTCTAAAGCTTTACAGTTTTATCATTGTCACATTTCAAGAAAAAACTAAATTTTAATGGAGCTTTTTTGGCGAAGTTTTATTAAATCTTCGGTTTTTAGGCTTTAAAGAAAATGAGATGCTAGTGCCTCAGTTCAGTGATTCAACCTTATGGGTTCAGTAATTGTATAATACTTAGATGCTGAATAATCTTTCATTTGTAATAGTCTTATTTTGGCCCGTCTTAATTGTTTTCAATTATGTTAGGTAAAGTTTTTAATTCATTGTACTGTGGTCTGTCTGTCGCTGTTGGATTAATACTGATTTCTTAGATTCTGGATTCTGATATCTGAAGTTCTCTTGTAGTCGTCCACACTCAAACACCCGGTTTCTTGATTTTCCTCAAATTCGGTCTTTTTTGTGCACAGCGATAGGAAACGTCTCAAAAATGAACTTCTACAAACTCTTTGTTCATTGTGTCACAAACTTTAGCTAGCAAATGTCAGGGATCTTTTAGTGTATTTAGGTGAATATTTCATGATGGTCAACAAGGGTTTCCTTCATATCTCGGTGCACTCATTGCGTTTCTATCTTGATTTGCTTTATAATTTGGTGAACTGTTTAATAATTACAGAGTTTTGGTGAACGGAAGGAGATTCAAATCTAGATCACGGATTTTTTTAGAGTTGGAAAGTGTTGATTTCGATATTTTTATCCCTGCAGTCCGTTGTAAGAGGGAAAGTTGGCCTTCCTATCATTTTTTCGCTCTTGCCTCCTTTCCTTTCGCCTTCACTTATACTGACAATTTTGTTGCTTTGTTCTTTTTGTGCTGGAAACATGGACTGACTGGTTTTCGTGATATATGTTTATAAATCGTTTATACTTCTATCGAATGAATATTATTTTTTACCACCTAATCAGCATTAGCATTATTTATGCCTTTTACCAATGAAAACTATCTAATCTTTGTAAAACATGTAAAAAAAATGTAAACATGTAAAAACATGTAACATTCGAAATTATCGAAATCGAAATCGAAATTCGAAATTATCGAAAAACATCGAAATTATGTAAAACATGTAAAAAAAAAGACATCGAAATTATATTGATGTCTCACTCTCATATTTCCCTACAAAGACTGATTTCGAGGACTTATCTCAAAAAATAACGGAAACAATTGAAAATCTTCATCGCAAACTAACTGGCATATTTCTACTCACCCACTGGTTTAAAGATATACATGAGCTGATAACAAAAGATCAGATAAATTCAAGTATAGAAACTATGGCGTCATTTGTACAACAACATGCTTTAATATGCTTAAAAGTTAAACGATTAAAGTTATTCCTTACTAAGTAGTGCTGGCATTATGATAAAATCAGAAAAGTGAGTTGGGAAATGACAATTGATCTATGCGGTTTGTATAATGTGGAATGAGTATGCACTTTCGAAAATAAATGAATAAAAGAAACTAATGAGTAGTTTTGCGATTGATATTTTCGGACGATAAATTTTATAAACTAAAAGTAATATTTGTAAATTCCTCAACAACCAGTTTGGCTTATCACATAAAAAATGAGACTGAAGTGAAAGAAGAATTTATGAGTCAGAAAATGGATGATTATTTTAGAAGCTAGAAGAAGCAATAATAACTTCAGAACTTACAAGATTTATAAGAAACTAACAATTTCACAAATTTTAAAACTTAAAAGAGATATGCAATACAACAGCACAAAATATGTAATGAATATAAATAAATTATATGTAATGAATAAATTATACGTAATGACAAAATATGTAATGAATATAAATAAATAAGCACAAAATATGTAATGAATATAAATAAATTTCATTGGAATAAACTAAAAATTAATTGCATTTTATCCAATCAATTAATTCATTAATTAGCTTGTTTATCCGTCATCCATCATCTACCACTTCCTCAATGTAACAACCATTTATAAATCTTGAAAGGCTTTATCCCGACTTACAGTACTACTTTAGTAGTAACTCCTGCCTCTTATTTGCTCCTATTACTAGCACTTCTTTAAACTTTCGAACCATCTTATTTTTTTTTTGTTCCATTAGCTCTCATTTTCAGGAAATAATTTTTGCTGCAGAACAGCTGTTTTTTTGTGGAAGGAATTGTTGTCTGTCATGTTTAGGCAAATTTTAATTATCGACAACTTATCCGGTATATTTCCACTACTACTATCATTACGCTTTCAACAGTTACACACATTAATTCAGCTAATCTTTATTCTCTTATTGCTATTTTTATCAAAAGCTATCAATGCTATTGATATTTGTACGCAACCGGAAATGGCTTGCGGTGCGCAACTTCGTTCTTATCCGTTGCTTAGATTAGAAGAAGTTTCCGGAAGGAATATTGAATCTGCTATGAATGATTTCCCATTGTATGATGAATTTTTTGCACCCAAACATACATTTAATTTTTCAAAAACGGCTAATTTAACTGATGAAAGAATTTGTGAATGCTCAAATGAAACAAGTTGCCAGCTGAATGAAGAAAATATTATCAATTTGGACGAAATGATTACGCTTATATTTTGCGATCGGGTTGATAATATATTTAGGCATTCATGCCATGGAACACGAAGTTTAATTCGTATTATTGGCCGAATTCATGAATCCGGTGAAGCATTAACAACTGTTGTTGAAACATTTCTTTTCTGTAAATGTGAACGAGGCTATCGACGAATTCGTGTTGAAGCTTGGTTAAATCATTTATATGCATTTATTTATCGATGTTTATAAAACGGAAAGATTTCAAATTCAATGAATTTTATGCGTTCGTTTTTTTGGTGACCTGTTATTTATTTAATAATTAACAGGTAATGTTTGAATTTGAAATTAACGTGGAAATGTTTTTGAAGTTAAAATTTTCAGAGACAATTTTATATTGTAAATCAAAATGAATCCTGTCAGAATTCAATATGCCACATAAATGCTAATTAATTTTATTCAAATACTTTAATTCTTATCTTAAGAAGTAGAAGTAAAGAAAGTAAAGAAAGTAAAGAAACCTTTTTGGCTGTATCGGAATTTGGCAGGAGTTATTGCAGTTTGTTTGTAATAATAATGACATGAAATTTAGTTTTATTTATTTTCAGTAATTATACTCTTATTGTTTAACAAATTAGCCCTTTTTCGAAATTTAAAAAAAAAGAAATTTACTAAATTTTAGTATTTTTGAATTTATTTAATTGAATAAAGTGTATTATTATTATCAACTAATTATTCCATTTCGCAATATTTCGGATGCACAGAAATTTCTCACTTCAATTTAACGAAAGATAAAACAATAGATTATAATCACTAATCATAGAAGAAATAATACGGGGAACGTAGACGGATCTTTTTTTTGCACTCCAGAAAAATAAATTAACCTGAAAGATTGAATCGATAACTTTAGCACTAATAAATGAATTTTGATTTGATAGATTATGAACGGATCTTCTTGTTTGAGGAATAATCGAACTGATCATATCACATTAACATACCTTATTTTTATTATTCTCATACGAATTTTTGAAATCTGTTTTAATTTTTAGAAACTGTATCAAATTGAATTTACAACTGATAACAGTGTTTATTTTACTTATTTCATGTATGATATAAAAAATGTTAAATCATTGATTGTTCTATTCCACAATGAAAAGTACATATCATGAAATGAACTCTCGGAAAAGCACAGTATTTATGTAAATGAAATAAAACTTCTGAAATTATTAATATTAATTATTAATTAATTAATAATAACACAATCGCATTCTTTTTTGTTAAAGCAATTCAAATGAAATCAAAAATAAATGATGCTCTCAAATTAAACATCGAGCACTAATTAGTGTTTTTGTTTATTGTTTTTTATAAAGCTTATAAAAAGCCGAATTTTGCTGTAAATTTTAAAATGAATTTTTTAGAAAAGAAATTTAATTTAAAAATAGAATTCACATTGAATTGTGTAATCTTAATTCAAATTTCGATAATTAAATCGTAGATTCTTTCAATTTCATAGTATTGAAAATGCATTTCACAGCTGCTCAGTAAAAGAACAAAAGGCTCATTGCTATTTTCTTTTTAAATTTAAGTTGTAAATTCGTTATTAAGAAAAATCTAGCAGTATATTGGAGAAAATTTATTACCGCTCCGACCACAATCGCTTTTTCACTTTTTGCTAACCTCTTCTGATTGTTACATTCAAAGCTAAGCTGAAGTCTGATCTTAGCAGTTGTTTAATTACCAATCTTCCAGGTAATATTGATCATTAACGTTTCCGGAACATTTTCAAGAGAAAAATGACTAATCATTTTATCCGATAGCATAATATCAATCAATTAAAATGCAGAAAAAATTAATTTGAAAAGTTTGAAATATTCAAACTTTATTTAGTAATAAAGTTTGTTTCAGTCTTATCTCTTTCGCTTACATATCATTCATTGAAATGCAAAAAATAATTTAAAACATAAAATTCTTTGCGATTAATTTATCGTACCATCGGTGTAAGGTAAATTTGAATAAATCAGGAAATGTTGCTCAACATTGCAATATAAATATTTTCACGATTTAGCGGTGTTGTTATTTAAATGGGCTTCTTGGCTTGAAGCTGTAATGTATCTTCTGTACTTCGATTAGCACAAGTGGCACATCTTTATTTGGCTGCTAAACTACCGACACCAATTAATTATCATAATTATAAGATTTGAACAAATAATTTAAATAATAACTTAAATGAAAAATTAAAACAAAAAGATTCGTTCTTCGGAAAAATATAACAAAATGAAAAAACGATTTCAAATATGAATTATAACATATTTTTTAAATAAATCAATTAGAATTAAAAATAGAATTGAATAAAAAATTAAATAAAATAATTTTACCTGAAATAATTACTTAATTTCATCTAATTTTTCCCTTCTGATAATATCATAAACATAGACACAGACACAGACACACACAGACACACACACACACATAAACAAACAAACAAACAAACAAACAATATCTATGAATTATGAATTATCAAAAAGAATAGAGAGGAGAGCCCCTCATTTAACATAGAATTGAACTGAACACAATGAATGAATGGGATGGATGACATTTGAATTTCTTTTAAACTTTTCCTATCATTCATTAGGAATGAGCAATGTGATTGATATGGTAATGAAGGAATTATTGGAAGAGAAGAGGGAGGAAGAGATGAAAAGATTATTACTCTTTCATTTCACTCCTTTTATTCTAACTTTATATAAATTGTTTCTTCTTTTTCTCTACAGTTTTCAACATTAAATTAATATATTCATTATAAACTTAACTTCTTTTATTGATTATTTTAATTATTGATTGATTGATTTTTAGTCATTTTTGATTTTTGAATATTTCTCATTTTTAGTTAATTTAAATTTATTTGTTATCTCTTTTATCTTTTCGCATTTTTCAGCTCTGCAATCTGCAATCTCAATATCGTATCAATCGTTCCGATATCTCCGAAATGAATTGTTCTTGATGGAAAGTGAAATAACGAATTTCATAATGGCACAAATTCTCTTCAGAGACCATACTAGTACGCACGTATTCGGTGGCGTAACGGTTGACGTACGATTTCCGTTTGTACTCTCGAGAAATCCCGGTCTTTGGTGCGCATTCTTTTTCTTTCCTTTTTATTTTATTGCACGATAAATATTTGTATCCATTTTTAGCATGTTATCATAATTAAGTCTTTTTTTTGTTTACCGCTTTTCTTGGAATTTTGAGAGGGGAAAAGGTCAAACAGTGAGGCGAGAATTAGAAAAGGAATCTCAGATGACATTTTGAATTAAATCTGTTGAACTGTTAAATTTCAATATATTTTAATCATTCATTAGTAATATGCCGCGAAGAAAATGATGGTTTTATCGATTACCATTTTCATTGTTTTTATTTAAATATGTTATTTATTGGTTTCAAGTAAGATAGATAAATGGCTAAAATTAGTAAGTATCAGCGTCAAGAAATCTCTAAAGTTGAAATGAATGCCGAATCTTACAGGAAAAGTACTTTCTATAAGTTTCAGATAATGAATATCCTGCATGGCTTTTTATTACCTACAATTTTAGCTTAAAATTATAGAATTTTTATTTTTAGGACGTAGTGTGTGGATCGGTCGTCTCTTGTGACGTGAGCTTTTGCGCTGGGTAAAAAGATGCACTCATGTAAATCAATTCTGGATATGAATCAAATCATTTTACGAATTTTTTTATCACTGCTTTTGATGGTGACTTTTTATTAAACAATGAAGTTAGAATATGATGAGAATGACTAATTCAACTAGAATGGAGCCTTTTAAAGCAAGCTTTAAAAAGCGAGCTGTAAAATAAAGCTGTCACATTGTAGTTTGCTTTCTTATTTCGCATGATGACGTTATTCAGTTACACTCTGTGCAGGATAATGAATATTATTTAGCCTGAAACATAATAAATATTATTTGTTCCTTATGTATCTTTGTAATAAGGTTTTATAACTCAACTAGGATTTGAAGCAATATAGATTGATGAGACTCTTTTTCCTTGGCCGCTGTTGCTCAGTTTTCAAGCATAATTTTACATTTATTCAAATGTTGAATATATAAAAATTTTCAGGTATGTTCGTTATCAGTAACAGAAAGTCTCGTCATTCCACTAAACGGGGCTAACATTGAATCAGTACTTCGTAAGTCCCTTCCAATATTTCATTTTGATATTCTTTTTTATCATGTAGGATCATTTTCTTCTATAGAGTTGTTCTAGTTACGAAAAAACAGCTCTGTTTGTTGTGAGAATTTCTAGATGATAGTCTAAATAGAAGTCATTAAATAGGTAACAGAAGTTAAAGCAAGAGAACTTAACTTCATGGTTGTGAACATATGACTTTAGTTACTTGTTTTCAAGATTGCACTATACTGAAACCCGTATAATCTCGACAAAACTAAACGATCTTCTAAATTTATATGAACTTAATCATAGTTTTTTTTTCACACTGTTCTTTTCCTATTTTTACACTTCTACTGATTGAAGAGTAAAGCGATGTTTAAAAACATTTCTAAAACTTCATTTGCTTTAAGAAAGAAATTTTTAGGAAATATTTCATTTAATCATCTTACAGGTACTTATGACGTTGTGTTTGTGAACTTTTACGCCGATTGGTGTCGGTTTTCACAGCATTTGATGCCATTATTTGAAGAAGCTAGTAATCGATTCAAGGTCAATCCTTCGGCATTATTTTGAACAGTAATGCCAGTTTTTTTCCCCGATAGTAGTGTTATGAATATTTGTAACTTTTCTCTATTCGACAATGGTTCATTTAAAGTATTTTACGAGAAGACTGCTCTGAAGAACTTTTGTTGAAATAAGACAAGAAAATTGCGTATTAAATCGTCTATCTCCTTGCATGCCTTGTTTTTATTAATACTATAACTTGTGTAAAGTTAATATGAAAGTATCAGCTAAATTATTATCGTATTTTTATTATGTAAAGAAATGTTGTAGGATCGAGGAAATGCGATTGCTTGGGCTACTGTAGACTGTGACAGAGAAGGTAAGTTGTTTAACATTTATACAACTTGCTTGAAGTAATTGTTTTGATATTAAGCATCTAATATATTTGAATGAATTTCGATTTCAGCTGATATTGCGCAAAAATATCATGTAAGCAAATATCCAACACTGAAAGTGTTTCGCGGCGGCGAACTGGTTAAGAAGGAATACAGGTAAAATGTCAGATATCATTCAGTTATCATCTAGTACAGTTAAAATGACTTAAACTTATTGGGGTTACTTGTTCCGTAGTGAATACAAAACCATTACTAACACTGAGTGTGCATAATCTTGAAGTTTCCCAAATCATTTTTTTTAGAGGACAGCGATCTGTGGATGCTTTAGCAGTCTTTATTGAGAAGCAGTTGGTTCCTGGTATGCAAAATTTTTCATCAAATGCTGAACTAGATAGCCTAATCAACGTAAGTCATCATAATGTATACCAACTGTCCTCTATTTTGTTGCATTATTCATTACAAAAATTTTTTGTGAGTTTTCAGATTAATTGATAGTCTTTATTGCAGCCGAAGAAACTTAACATCATAGCTTATTTCGATCAGACAACTGGTCCAGAATTCGATAATTATTGCAAAGTTGCGTCGCTGCTTCGAGATGATTGTGTATTTTGGCTCGGTACAGGTGAAGTGTTTCGGTCTGAAGTAGCAAAGGGCAACAGACTTGAATTTAGACCTTTAAATGTTAGCTTTTCTTAACGTTCTTTAATTTAAAAGAAAATTTCGTCAAGCAGATTAAAGCAACCGTCTTTCACAAGCGAATGTGCTTTGAATTAGACCTCCATCACTTTTCAAAAAACTCGGTGTAGCATCACTGGCTTTCGTTGCACCACTGGCTAAGGTTTTTGGACATAGTTGAAAACTCAGTTATCCTTCTTGTATTTTGCTTAAATTTGTCAATGTAATTTTTGAGGAGTATATAATGAAATAGTGGCCTAAGTTCATATCTTTTTTCAGAGCAACGAGAGGGTTGAATATACTGGAGGACTTGCAAATCTTGAAACTTTAAAGTTTGTGGATAATTTTTTTGAAGTATAAATTTTTAATTTGAGTTGTATGAAAAGCTTCACTCTTGTGTCAATCAGCACTTGTCTTTTTGGTTTTTTTCGGAAGCAATAAATGAAAATAGTGTCCTAATTATTCTCTGTCCTTTTAGTCGTTTCCAATTCAATCTTAGATCTACATCGCATTGTGGCTTGTTTGTTGAGGAAAAATCGTGAAAAGACGAAAAAAGTTTTACGAAAATGATAGAGAAAAGTTTTTTCCATTTTTATTCATCTCTTGAAATCAATGTTTTAATTCGAAATATTATTTAGGCAGTGGATAGTAGATAAATGTGTGCCGCTCGTTCGTGAAATAACTTTTGAAAATGCTGAAGAATTGACAGAAGAGGGTCTTCCCTTTCTTATTCTCTTTCGCCATCCAGATGATGTACAAATTGACAGAGTTTTCACGGAACAAGTTGCTCGTGAACTTTTTGACCAGAAATGTAAAAATTTTAAGTTGAACAGAAATGTGGGAAAGAAAGTTGAAGATTTTTTGAAAATTTATAGTGAAAATGTTTGTTTGCTGTAAAATGTTGTTGTTCATTCTTTTCTTACTTTTTGGATATAACAATTTCGTTCCACTAATGAGAGAATGAAAAAGAACATTAGAAGAAAGAAGAATAAGATTTTCTCGATTTTTTGATATATTGCAGTAGGAAAAGTAAAAAAATTAAGACCAATTATTTTCAAGTTCAAATCATTTTTTTTTGAATTTTCTGAATTATTTAATACATATAAGAATTTCATTTTTCAGCTAGTATTAATTGTTTATATGCCGATGGTAAGAAATTTGTGCATCCTCTGCAACATCTTGGTAAAACGATGGAAGATTTACCTATTCTTGCAATAGATTCCTTCCGTCATATGTATCTTTTTCCGGACATGAAATCATTAACGTATGTTTTATTAGCTTTCTTTGCAAAGAATTACCTCAAGAGTCTGAATTAGCCCGATTAAACTGAATTTTCACTGCAATAATTGTGTTGCAGTGTACCAGGAAAATTGCGTCAGTTTATTTTGGATTTACATTCGGGGAAATTACACCGAGAGTTTCATCATGGTCCTGACCCGACGCAAGCTCCTCCGTCACCACCATCATCTGAGAATGCACTTGAGAAGGTATGGATTTATCATATATATATGTTAAAATGTATATGACTGATGCAAATAAGTCACTGTAAAAAAAAAAGACTTTGAAATTATATTTTGACCATAGCACCCTTTTCATTGCATTATCGAGTGCTTATTATTATTATTATGAACAGTTACCCTACATATAGCATTTTGCGATTTTACTTTATGCACTTCTAAATTATATTCATTTTTATCTTTCCCATTTTTTTAAATCGTGCATTGTAAATCATGCAATGTGTTTTGATGCGGCATTGCACATCCTGGTATCCATAGATGTAATCGTTTCGGACCTCCTGAAAATGAAAACTGTTACCATTAAGTTGTTCAATGATATGTGCTTAATGTTACTTTGCCATTGCACATAACATCTTGTTCTTGAAACTGGGTTTATGATCCACTCATTATATTTCATTTAATTTATGCTTTTTTTTTAATTTCTAGCAAATAAAGACTCCCTTCAATAACTCGACACAAGTTCACACTTGACATTCCCGCACTATAATGATAGATTTCACAGAGAATTAGTTCTCGTTGAGGTGAATATTAATTTGTTTACATTTCAGGGAACGAAAGGTACAGACAAATTGCAACCACCAACGAGTATATTCAAGCAGTTGAAACCATCGGAAACACGTTATTCGTTGTTGTACAAGGATGAATTATGAGGTCTTATTACTTGTGTTGCAAAGCAGTTTCTAGTCATTATGACCATTTTATTTGTTGCAATTTGGATTCAGTTTTTTCTTTTTTTTGTTTATATTTACTTCTCTTGTACAATTTGTATTCTTTTTTTCTTATTAAAGCACTGGGTGAAAGAGGCTGGATGCGTTGGGAACACTAAAAACTACGTGAATAGCTGTCCAGTCTTTTTATAATGTTTTGATTTTTTACTCCTTTTTTCTACGGGTAACTAATTATTAATCTATTGATGTCTTTTTTTTCAACTTTTCTGTTTTCTTCAATTTGCTATAGAAGTTTGAAATCATTTGAAATTTTCTGATTGTTTCACATGGATTCAAAAATTACGCAAGAGTTCAAAAATAATGCAATTTTTGCAAAAAATTCTGTATTTCTAGCTTTTATTGGGTTTGGATTTGTTATGTATTATTTGGTCATTCTTAGTGTCATTGTCATTTTAAGTCATTTGTTCCTTTTTCTACTATCTTCAATAAGTAAAAGATTACTGCTTTTTCAAATCTCCTAAACCTGCTTTTCTTTCTTCTTAATAAACTTTGTAAGTTGACCTCAAAAATTTCCTGTTACAAAGCTAGTAATTTTGAAGTGTAATTTATACACGACGCTGGGACACTGCCTCTTATGTTATTGCAAAGATTAAAAATGATGCCTAAAAATGAGAAATAAAAGATGGGCCGCAAAAGTCAAAGTTGTATATTGAAATAACATCTCTTCCACGATTCACCTCTTCATCATTGATTGAACATGACTTGGCAGGACGTGCATCAGAAAGATTTTTTGTGAGTAATGATTTTGTAGTTCAAAAATTGTTCAATTTCATATTCTGTGAATTCAACGAAGAATGTGCTAATGCACACAAGTTTTTGAAGCTCCAGTCATCAAATTTGCCAGTTGAATCTATCGACAATATCAAATTATTTGTTCTTTTGAAGTGTGAAGACTGTTTGGTTTTAAGATAATTTGTTTCATTGATTATTCCCAGCCTAGCAGAGCCTTAAGGCCAATAAATATGCGTAATCTGTTCTGTTATTTTCGCTTTCACAACATTTATAGCTTTATAGCAAGAAAAGAACATTTTCTTGTCGCAGTCGCCAAATTGTATTTTGTAAAGTTTATGTGTGTAATATTTTTAAACTGCTCTAAGACATAGTCTTATTTTTCGTAGAAGTAGCTTAAAAGTCCCACTTCTTTGTTTAATTTATTGATTTTAGGTAGAATTTTCATTTAATTTATATTCATCTATTATGGTTGGTTGCGAAAATTGCGATAATTTCTTGTTTTCTATTAAGTAAAATGTATGCTTCCCAAATAGTTCTCATTAATACAAAGAGCTGTAACATTTGCTTTCGATGCATTATCATATGACATTAGAATTGTTGACAGATGTAACATGCATTCCAATCATTATCATTGTAGGTGTATTGCTTATCACTAGAAAATGAGACGAAATCAATCTTAATATTATAGGCTTAAAAGAATCAAATTTGGATTTTTTTTCATATGATGAAAATTTATTCATCTTTTGATAAATCTTTAAAACACTGCGTTATCAGTTAATTACATTAGTTTCGCTATCAAATAACTTATACAAAGATTTATTTCAATTATCGATTTATTTTTCCTTTTTTGTATGATATAATTTCTTACACTAGTTCTCAATATTGAAATCTTTCTGGAAAGTCTGAAAAGTTGAAAGAATAATTACTCATTTTTAGGAATACAATTTAAAGATTGTTGTTAAAGTACATATTAAACTAACAAACATTTTCCACACTTTTACTAAGTTAACGTATACTTTACATTGTATCATCGTAAACTATATATTGTATCATCAACTTGCACTGTATACGCCTAACCTATACAGTATACCATATGTACTATATCGACGCAACCTTTAGGCCCTAAATAGTTTTGACAACTTTATGGTTACAGTTTTAACTTATATAATTTTTTCTTCAATTCTATAAACAAATAATGACAAATAAAATCATTAATATATCTTGAAAAATGAATGCTGAAAATGGAAAACAAATCACGAGCCTCATAGATAAATAAAAGCCTTCTTAGCCATCATTTACATCTATCTTTCAAGTGGATTCTTCGATCATCGATTATTTTATTTCATTTCATATGTAATGTTTTCATCATATTATCATTATCATCAAAGTGTTTTGCATATTTTTCTTTTATAATCATTAATATATCAAGTTAGATACACTTTTTATTTATTCATTCCACGTATAACTAAGAAGTATTATAATTTAGTTCATTATCTTATTACGTCGTACTTCTGGTTAGTTTTACGTGAAACTTCCCATTCAGCAGCAAATTTATCAGAAATTCGTAAATGATAATGATATGTTGTTTTCGTTATTAATTACGAATTTCTGCTATAATTCTGTCCTTTTCAAAGTGTTAATATTTACCATTTGTTATATTTTTGAGTATCAAAAATATATTATCATATTGATTATATCTATGATAAGATAAGAATTGATTATCAAAAATAGAATGAATTTTGATTAAAGAAAAAAATCGATATGTTATTGAAAATTTGATGTATTTCATTGGCTTTTAATGAAAATATTTTGAATGTAATCATTCCTGCTGATTTTGATGATTTCGGTTCGGTGTAGTTGATAATTTTAATTTATTGAATAAAAAAATTTTTCTTTAGTTTGAAATCGAAAGCATCCAATGCATTATGGAAAGTAAAACATCTCATATTGTTTATGAGCAAATTCAAAATAATCCACCAAATGATCGTCGTATTTTATCAATTCAAAGTCATGTCGTACATGGATACGCTGGCAATAAGTGTAGTGTATTTCCTTTACAGGTACAATTTTTTTTTCTTCTTTGTTGCTCCATTTTTTTTTAATCAGAAGTTATTTGAATAATAATTCTATGATTTCGAATCTTTCAATGGATATGTTTCAGAAACTTTAAGACTAGCTAAGAAGATATAGGTGATATGGTGCTAAAAATAGTTATGATAGCTAAAAATAGTTTATTAGTTGAACCAAATTACTAATAGCTTAACTAACAAATGGTATAACATATTATTTTTAGCTGCATGGATATGAAGTGGATCCAATAAATTCGGTACAATTTTCCAATCATTCAAGTACTCCTCGTTTAATAATTTTAATAAATCCAATATCACTTCAGCAATATGCATCATCATTTTTTTTCTAATTCTTAAATTTAAATTGATTTCCGAGTAGTCATTTTAAGTAATCCAAAAAAGACTGATAGTATATTGTTGTTATTTGGATAATAGCTAACACCTGAGATCTATTGAAAGTTGTTGGCTATTTCTCTAATTTAAATTAGATTCAACTGTTAGTTTAATTATAATTTTATTATTTTGTTGAACTTCATAAGTAATATTTTATTTAAGAGAAGATTTGAAAATCTCAAAACCGAAATGGTTTTGATTATAAATTTTGGAAATTTGTATTGGTTAAATTTTAGGATATAAATTGATGAAAGGTCAAACATTGGATGGCGTACAATTGAATGATATTTATGAAGGCTTGAAACTGAATGAAATTAACAATTATTCACACATTTTAACAGGTACTACTCTAAATTATGAAAGATACTTGTAGATATTTCTAGCATTTTACACAGTGAAGAATTTCGGACTACTGTTCTTTGGTCGGTTTACATTCAGATACGACTATCTTATTGCTGTCAACATTGGAACTGCGATCCCCAACTAAATCCTATGAATCATGTCAGTTCAAATAATTTAAAATTGAAATTGAGCGACTTTTTCCGAAGAAATGGTCACCACATAAGATTATAGTATGAAGTTTTAGAAATAATTTTTCGATTGATTAATTTCGATCAATAATTTTTCCTTTTGCTCTTCACGTTTTTATATCTTCAGGATATTGTAGAAATTCGTCATTTCTGCAAGGAGTTGTTAATATAGTCAAAGATTTGAAACAGAATAATCCGGATGTTCTTTTCTGTGAGAATTTAATTCTTTCTTGTTGAAATTCTTTAATGGGCACTTTATTGCCAGGATATCTAATTACATAATGATCCTTATCTGTCCATACTTTCCCACAATCGGAGCTTATGTATTTAAATGAAATAAGATAATGTAAGATGAATTTTTTATATTTCCTTCATGTTACTTAAGGAGGAAAATCAGAAGTTATGCAATTCTATTAGTCAGACAAAAACATGTTCCAAATTAATTTCCAAATAATGAAAAATTGATTCTAAAGTATATACATTTACAGACTGTGATCCTGTATTGGGTGACAACGGCCATTATGTAAGTTGCATTTCAAAAATAAGATTTAATTATTCTATTACAAATCAATGAAAGTTTGGTTATGAAGTCAAGTTTCTCCTCTTCGGGAAAATTAGTTTTATAAAAAGTCTTAAAAATCAAATTTATTCATGTTTAGTACGTTCCAAAAGAGTTGATGCCAATTTATCGTGATGTTTTAATCCCATTGGCTGATGTGATCACACCAAACATTTTTGAGTTATCGTAAGTTCCAAAGTTATTTCAAATTATGATAGAGATAGGCTTAGTTATTTAAATGCTTAATTTTGGAAAATATATACAAAACATTCTACTGTTTCACTTTATGATAAGTAGAGCGGACAATAAGATCAGTCATCATTTAAAACATAGATAATATATACATTTGTAAATGCATATAAATTCAATACTGGAACGCAAATGATATTTCGATCATCAAATTACTCAGTATGAAGCATAATTGTTTAATTATGGTCAGAGTAATGATCATAATATGAATAAATAATGGACTGGACGTAAGCTTGAGTGAAGTGGAAATTGCGTAGGTGTAATGAAAATTTTGTTTGAAATCGTTCATAGGCAAAAATGAAATGAAATTGAGGAAAAAATAAGTAATCCATAATTATAGTAAAAATTTAAATTTAATGCTTTATCATTTTTTTTGTTAACTTATAATATTTATAAATAGACAAAGAAAAGCAAATCTCTACCATATTTATGGAAAGGATGATAAGAATTGCGAATCAGTGTTTGCATATTTTAAGCATTAAATTTAAAGTAATTATCATTTATATAAAATAAACAAATTTTTTTTTTTATTAGTGAACTATCTGGTTTATCTATAAATAATCAGCACGAATGTTTGGAAGCAATTGACTTGATGCATAAATGTGGTGTTAAAACAGTAGTTGTTTCAAGCGGTCTGGAAACGTCAACTACAAAGTTTTGTTATGGATCTGTTTATAAAGGTATTTTTGTTACATCTATTTAATATAATTATTTTAAGTTTATTTTTATTGCAAAATTTTTTTGATTTCGTTGTTAGGCAACTTTCGAATTAAAGAGGCAATTTTAGGATTTTATTAAGGTTATAAAACAAAACTTATTGTCAATGATGTTCTTTGTTTAGATTCTAGTGAACGAGCCTTGCAATATCGTTTTGATATACCGACATTACCAGGAATATTCGTAGGTACAGGTGATGTTTTCATTAGCCTACTCCTTATTTGGATGGATAAATTGAACGGCGATATTACAGCGGCTATCCAGAATGTTATTGGTACTTTGCAAGGTATACTACAACGAACTGCAAACAAAGCATACCGTACGATATTAAACAGTCATTCTTCGATAAGGATTTCTTGCTCAAAATTTTCAATTATGTTTTCTTATAAATTTTAAAATAAAGTGAAATATGAAATTTTAAGATAATTCACGATTCATTTCGAATGTAATGAAATGTCAGTATTTAAAGGATTTAATTCCAAGTCGAAATAAATTATATTTGCTTGGATAGTCTAATAAATTTGATTTTTTTTTAATTTGAGATTATCAGAATATAAGAAAATGCTTTTTTTGTAGGTCACCGGAATCCGAAAGAATATACTCCAACATCGGAAGAATTGGAACTACAACTAGTGCAAAGTCGTTTAGATATACTCGCTCCACAAGTTACTATTAAGTCAACAAAACTTCAATAGTAATACAATAATAATACCTTACATTTTAATCTATTAAAATTCATTCCAATTTAATGTAAAATATCAAATTAGCATATGCAGTTCCTTTTAAAAAATTTATCTAACCATATTATCCTATTGATTATTATTCATTATGTCATTCCTACAGCATCTTAATACTCCAATTTCTTTTAATTCCTACTACAGACCTCTGAGCAATACGCAACTATATTGTAATAATTAATTAAGAAACTGTATTGTCTTAATTCTTACAGTGCGATCCTGCATTACTAAATCTCATGCGGCTAAATATTTGTTGTGATCATTTCTAATTCATTGATATATGTTGGAATAAATTATTACATCACTAAAAAATCTCTGGAACAAAATCAGTTTCTTACAGAAGTCATTCCATATGAAAAAAAATTACCATTGAAAAATTTTAATAAGCATAGCTAGTTTGAAATTTATAAAATTGTCTTCGAGAAAGAAGAATTGATACGCTCACATTCAATCAAATATTCAGTCAAAATTCAGGAAATAATTTTTCTGAACTAATCTTATATCATATCAAGAAAGTGGATTATGATTAGTGTGATAACTTTTGGATCAATAAAGAGCACGATAAGAGTGATAAGGAAAAATTGAATTAAGAATTGAATTGCCTCAATATATTGTATTATTCCAGAATATGTGCAACTACAAATTTTTTAATGTGAAACCAGTAATGACTATAACTTATAAAGTTGCATTTGTAAATACGATAAATCAGCGGCACATTTCAAGAATTGTATTCACTCATGGTATTTTGTCTATTTTGAATAATGTACTCTCTTTTTCCTTAAATTTCAGAATCTGCTGTTTTACTTAACTCATTTAATTTTGCTATACTGTATCAAATCTATTGTTTTACTTGACTCATTTAATTTTGCTATACTGTTTTCTAGCACAATTAACTTTGTGTTATATAGAAATAATAATTTAAATATGTTCAATTTATGAATCTTTCTAATAAAATAAGAAAAAATTTCAAATATTGCTTTTTTTACAATCTACAAAGAATATATAATTTCTTACAAATATTTCAAAATTGTTAAAATCGATTTTCGAATTTAACAATTTTGACTATTTCTTCACTTTCATTGTAAAATGAATTAACAGATTTATTTAATTTGTTTTGATGGGATGATCCGTTTTCTAATGTCCTCTTTTGTCAACTTTATCTTCTCTTCTTTCTTTATCCTCACCTGATCTCTCTCTCCCTCTCTTCATTCTTTATTTCTTAAATTTTAAATGAACTAATTTCGGGCTTATTGCGCAGTAATTAGAACGACATTGCAGCAAAAAAGAAATTGCAATAACCTTGAAGAATTTCGAGGATATATAATAGTTCTTGAATATATAGCACATTGAATATTGTGTACTTTATTGTGGTTACGATAGATTCATTAAATTTACGATAAGCTCATTAGACTAGTGTCACTAATATTTTGTAGGATAATTTTAAATATTTGCATGAATTCAGGATACGAAATAAAATTAAGAGATTTTACTAGAAGTTACCAATTCTGAACTCTGAAGCGTCTTAAAATAGATCGTCAGGCATCAATTGTAGACTTTCTTAATTAATTAATCATAGAATGATTATGACAATTTCGTTATTTTATTTATGTACGATTTTAAAAATCTAATATTTGAATTATAAATCTTAGATTAGATTTTAAAATTACTACGGCATATTCCAAAATCTAGTTCATATCTCAATAATATTACCATTTTTCATCGATTATTCTTATTATTACTATTCAATTGCTAATATTTAAAACATTTACTAAAAAATTTTTTAGTACATCTGATATTAGGAATATCTTTTGCTACAATATTATTGATTTATCAATTTCGTTTATCTCACTGAAATTATCACACATACTTTCACTAAAAATTAAATTTCAAATTTGTTGACTTTTGTTTTTAGCGTATAGCAATAGTTGTAGTATCTAATTTGATAATATGAATTTGCTGGAGCAACATTAATGATATTAATTTGCTGATGAAAGTGATAATGTTAATGGTATCGTAGCAGCCTATTTGAATCTTTATCCGAAAGTAACCTTGTCGATTGCGATTATATGACACCATTTTTCCAATAGTACTTTATTAGAACCCTTCTTTATGAATAAATTATAGCTAAGATTTCTATAAGGCTTTGTTATGAAGAAAATTTAGTTAATAAGAAAGTTTATAAAATAATATAATTGTCTTAACGCTAATGAGATGAAATTGATGAGTGCAGTAGAATTCTTCTAGGCTTAGAACTTAAACAAAAGTGTTCTAAGTTTCTTTTTTTTAAGCAAAACAATGAGCGAAAAGTTACACAACACTGATTATATCGTTGTGGCGGAAAATGACGTGTGTAAAATGCTAAAATTGATGAAGAACCGATAAGCAAAAAACAATTGGTAGATTTCAAATTTATCAAAGGAATGCTATCAAATACAAATTACAATAATATTCTTTACAAATATCCTTTTGCCATTTATTGGACTTGTAAAGTTACCTACCTGCACAGGTGAAATTATGAGTAACACGAACAATTAATTTGAAGAATGCTTGAACTATTGATGATATTCAAGTTTTTTTTCAGAAAAAGATTAGTAAATAGCTGTCATTAGATAAGGTATTATTTTATTAATAATAGAAGTGAAAGAATCGAATGTTAGCCCCCAAAAAATTAATATTTTCGGAATAGCTCTTTCTTTCCCTCTCTCTCTCTCTCTCTCCATTTGATAAATATTCGATGTTTAGTGCAATTACACTTCCTGCTGTAAATTTAAAATAAAGCAAAAAAATTTTTTTCTGAAAATGCTTACTTCAAAATAGATGATATGATAAGACCACAAGCAAGTGCTTTATCATTTATCGTTTTGTCTTAGTGCTTTATCATTTATCATTTTGTAAACTTATTGCACTACACAAATTTTTTCAAAATGCTTTTCCAATTCGTTTAAACAAAAAGATTTTTTTTATGTTCCGGATGTTCAGATTGAATTTATTCAATTTCATTTCTTCGTATCATAGAATTGACAATAGTATTTGAAGTAAATATTATTGAAGTACTTGAAGTAAATAGTCAAAACTAGCTATTCTAATCAATACATTCCTAATAAGTTATTTACAATAGGAAATTAAGAAGTTAAGTGATAAATTAATTAGTACGAAACCAACTACCAAGAAATACTTCATTGTCTAAACATATAAATTTGATATTATATATGGTGTATGTAAATTAACATATCAGATTTCAATGCTTAATAATTTCATTAACATTTCATGCCATATCGAATTGTATCTGATACGGTATGAATATATGCCGAATGTATCGGTGAAAGGGATGATCAAATGAATGCCAGATCAATGATTAAAATATTGATATAGATGAATTTGTTCGTCTTTTTTTTGATTCATGAATTTAATATCTGAAATTATGCAATTAAAGGCAAACCATCACAATTTCAAAATCGCAAAAAAGAGATCGGAATAATTTTTTGCACGTTTCATTACTCATTACTGATTGTTGCGAAGTAACATTTAGATGGCAAATTTTCATTATTAGTTGAATCATTCATGTCAGTTGCGCAAGATACATTTTAACTCTTAACCCCGATACTGATAATTGCGTGTTTTTTTTTGGTTTTCAATGAATTCAAAAAGTGATAAAAGTTGACCTTTCAAAGATTTACAAACTGCTATGAAATACACTGATAGAGATGATATAATAAAGATTTCATATTTAGTAATTATAGCATCTAAATATGTCGTATGAAGACATTCGATATGTCGTATGAACACATTCTGTATAATCGTAGCAATAAGGCTTCTTCGTCGTTGGCAACAAAAAGAAAAGGTAAGGATGAGGAAAAATTATTTTATATTTTTCAGGGACACGTACCATAATTCTCACGTAATTTTCATAATTCAATAAATGTATTCAACGACATTTACGCTTTTTTTTTGTTCCGATAATCATATCGGCAATGTTATATATTTTTACAAAGTTTGGTTACCTGTAGTACACTATTTTGCATATCTGAGAAAATACAAATTTTATAGAGAGAGGGAGAGAGAGAGAGAGAGAGAGAAAAATGAAATTATTAATGTAAATAGGCTTAATTTAGGGCGAACATATTTAATAACTGAAAATATTAATTTTGGAATATTCGATGGATAAAATTTTTTTGTAAGTAAAAAGAGCGATCGGGCGGTGTTAACTTTGAAAGTAAAGAAAAAGTACGGGAAATATTTTATGACAAAAATTTGTGGAATGAATCTATCATTAATGACACCAATTTGATTCACATCCATCACATATCATCATCTTTTGTTGTTGTCAATCATCCGTTCAGCTCTTTCCCTTTTTTCATCTCCTCTGTTCATCATCATCTTACCTTAATTCCCGTGCTCTAGTCTTCTTCAACTTTTACTTACACTACATTCTTGCACTTTAAAACTTCTATTAACCGGAATTTCCATTTGTTAGCAAATGAAATATTAGAACTATTCAAATATTGCCTTTGCAATAATAACATAGCACTATAGTGTTAGCTATTTGTCAAAGCTTAAAATGAAAGTTTGTTTAATCACATTTTGAGAGAGAGAGAGCTAACTTGAAAAGTGTCATCAAATTTTAAATCTTAAAATATTCATATCTCTGTATATTTGCTAAAATTCTTTCATTTTTTTTCAACTCTCATCGCACAATTTTCAGCGATTAAAATATGCAATCATTACTATGCGTAATTTATTCACATACGTGTTCTCATGAATATCATACTATGCGTAATTTATTCACATACGTGTTCTCATGAATATCATACTATACGTAATTTATTCACGTACATGTCCTCATAAATATCATATTATACGCAGTTTTACCACGTTTTTTTCCTTTTCCAATTAACATATGTTTATTTCTAAGAATATTAATCAATTCTCAATTTCAAAAAAAATTCAATTTCTGGCGA